CTCTGCCACCCTCCCACCCCCACCTGCTTTAAGAGTTTGTGCGAGGCACTGGCTGAGCCTTAGAAAGCTATGCTGTGCCTGGCGCTGTAGGGTCAGACTGTACTAGAACTCCTCTTGGGGGTGGTCTCCGTCCCCAGGCCAGGACCCAAGTTAGCATCTCCAGGGGTTGCCACTCAGCTGAGCAGGCGTTGGCATCGGAAGAACTCACCTACCCAGGCTGTACCCAGCCCACTCCTGGGCCTCTGTTGAGGAATGTGGTGCACAATGGGTCTCACTCCTCTCCCTCCGCGTGCCCCCGCCCAGGCCAGCGTTAACTTTCTGAGAATGGGAGGACAGGTGGGCAAAAGGAACCGCGTAGGCTGTGCCTGTTCCCCTTGCATAAGCTACGTTCCTGACAGGAAGCTCGTCTCCCATGTGTCTCAGCCAAAATGTCTGTTTCATGATCTCTGTTTCCTTCCAGCCTTTGTCTGATTGAGTAAATATTTTTGCCAGTGGTAATCATTGTGAAGACAGCATTTTCATTATGGTCTCTCACTTAATGTTTCCTGAGATGTTTTCCAATGTTTCTCTGTGGTTTTTTAATTATACTTTTAATGACTACATTAGGGTGAATCATAATACTTTATGCCCTGTTGTTCAATATTTGAGCTGTTTCTAATACTTCATTGTTTAAAAAGTGCTATGATTTGCATATTTATACATATGATTTCTTCCTGCTTAGTTTTTCTTGCCTTCAGATGTCAAGTGAAATTACTGAGTCAACAAGCATAAAGACTTTGTTTGCTTTTGTTTCATGAAGCCATTTCCTTTACTAAAAATAATAGGATCTTTTTACACAAAAACATGGAAACAGCCCTATTTTAAGTCAGTCTCACTGGCCAGAGGAGTTAAATCTCTGGCTAATTTAACAAGAGCACTGAGAGTACTTGGTGTTAGTTTACCCTTACTTCGTTGGTCCCCCATACATATATTCTTTTAAAGATTTATTTATTTATTTGAGAAGTAGAGTTAGAGAGAAAGAGAGAAAGGTCTTCCATCTGCTGGTTCACTCCTCAAATGGCTGCAATAGCCAGAGCTGGGCTGATCCAAAGCCAGGAGCTTCTTCGGGGTCTCCAACGTGGGTATAGCAGCCCAAGGACTTGAACCATCTGCCACTGCTTTCCCAGTCCATTAACAGAGTTGGATTAGAAGTGGAGCAGTCAAGGCTTAAACTGATGCCTATATGGGATACCAGCACTGCAGGCGGAGACTTAACCTACTGCACCACAGCGCCAACCCTGGTCCCATGTTTAATTGCACTGCCTTTTATATAAATCATTAGTGTTCTTAGCATCTCTGCTGCAGTCTTGGGCATTTTTTCTTACAAACTTAAGTGAACAAGGGATGGCTCCTCAGGCCTACCCACATTTATGCTTTGAGTTTGAAAGACACGGTGATGAAAAAATTGTACAAATATAAATTTAGTATGTGTTACAAAAACAATTGTCCAAGAAAAATGACACAGTTGTGCAGGCCTTCTATGTGCCAAGCACAACTCTAAGCACTTGAACCCTAATGCTATGAAATACGTACTGCTTACTCCCATTGTATAGCTGGAGAAACTGAGGCAAAAGAGATCAAGAAACTTGGCCACGTCAGAATCCAGCCCCAGGAGGTCTGGCTGCCAAACCTGTGCTGCAGGTCAACACTGGATCCCGTGTGAGTGAGGGGTGAGCGTTAGAGAAAGAAGGCAGCCAGGGAGAACTGTCCTGGAAAGAATGAGGAAGAGGCCCCAGAACCCGAGACTCTTGGGTGTTGGAAACAGTATTTTGGAGCTTCTTGGTTCTCGAACTCATGGCTTTTCCAAATGAGTCGAGGGTAGTTGGCGTTGCGGCACAGCAGGTGAAGCTGCTGCCTGTGAGACTGGCATCCTGTATGAATGCTGGTTCAAATCCTGGCTACTCTGCTTCCTATACAGCTCCCTGCTAATGCGCCTGGGAAAGCAGCAGCAGGTGGCTCAAGGGCTTGGGCCCCTCCAGCCACGTGGGAGACCTGGATGGAATTCCAAGCTGCTGGCTTTGGCCTGGCACAGTTCTGACTATGGAAGCCAATTGGGGAATGAACCAGAAGATGGAAGATCGATCGATCGATCTCTCTCTCTGTCTCTCCCCTGCCCCTTCTCCCTTTCTCTATGCAACTCTGCTTTTCAAGTAAGTAAATAATTTTTTAAAGATTTATTTATTTATTTGAAAGTTAGAGTTACATAGTGGGAAGAGAGGCAGAGAGAGAGAGAGAGAGGTCTTCCATCCATTGTTTCACTCCCCAATTGGCTGCAATGGCCAGAGCTGTGCAGATCTGAAGCTAGGAGCTAGGAGCTTCCTCCAGGTCTCCCACATGGGTGCAGGGGCCCAAGGACTTGGGCCATCTTCTGCTTTCCCGGCCCATCGCAGAGAGCTGGATCAGAAGTGGAGCAGCCGGGTCTTGAACTGGCGCACATATGGGATGCCAGTGCTTCAGGCCAGGGCATTAACCCTCTGTGCCACAGTACCGGTCCCAATAAATAAATATTTTTTAAAAATGAATTCAGTAAATGACCAAATGTATGAAATAAATTGCATACACTAAGACAACAGATGTAGCTTTAGGGATTTTTTGAAGATATGTGAGCTGCATTTTTGCTCCTGTGTGTCCCAGCTGGGGTTCTCTTCTTGGTTTGGGTTGGGTGGAAACCCAGGCTCCTACCATTTCTTCCATCGGGTACTGGTGGTGGAAACCATCCCCTGCTTGTGATGTGCTGGGTCTCGATCTTGACCAAGAGTTATTGGACCACAAAACCGCATTTGTTTGTTGTAGGTGGATTTAATGGATTTCATTCCAGGCTGTTTCCAATTTATTTGCTGAATAATGACTTTTCACAGTTCCGAATGCCAGAGTAGGGTGTGCATTTGGATCATTTGGTTCTGTGGGATGAAGAATTCGTGCTGGGGACCACACAGTCAGGACTGCGGGATGCTTCTGAAGTGATGCTTTGTTGGCTGGCAGGTGTTTCCATCTTCCTGTCCCTCCGTGCCTCACACTCCCCGTCTGGAGATGCGTCTTTGTGCGGGAACGGGGGCTGAGATGAGTCATCAGAAGCAAAACCCATGCTGTGCTCCGGTTCCGTTTTCATCAAGACCACATGCATGGACCCTTCTGAAGTTTATGGAAAATGTGCATTGTGGGAAAAATGCCGGGATTTCAAAAAAATTTTGTACCAAAATAAAATCATCTTTCAAGTGAATGTTTATCTGGGAGGCAGAGAGAGGGAGAGAGAGATCCCATCAGCTGGTTCACTCCCCAGTGCCTGCAATGGCTGAGACGGGGCCAGGAGCCAGTCCAAGCTTCCTACATGGGTGGCTGGGACCCAGTACACCCAAACCATCACCTGCCGCCTCCCAGAGTGCACGTTAGCAGGAAGCTGGATTCCAGAGCAGAGCTGGGACCCGGGCTCGGGCACTGTCATGTAGGGTGTGGGCATCTCAGGTGGCATTCTAACCGAAAGGCCGCAAGCCCACCCAGACTTTGCTTTTAATTTAACTCAGCTTTTGCATGAACTTTTGAAGTATCTTCCTATTCAGTTGTTATCAGAAGGAGCTGGAGGGAACTTACATGCTTTGTTAGAGCCTTTTAGTGTCTTCTCTCTGGCAAGAATTATCTCTCTCTGGGGCCGGTGTTGTGGCGTAGGAGTGAAGCCACACCTGTGACACCAGCATCCCATGTAGGCACCAATGCGAGTCCTGGCCACTTCACTTCCAATCCAGCTCCCTGCTGATGCACCTGGAAAAGCAGCAGAGGATGGCCCAAGACCCTGAGCCCCTGCACCCACGTGGGAGACCAGGAAGAGGCTCCTGACTCATGGCTTAGGACCGGCCCAGCTCTGGCCATTGCAACCATTTTTGGGTAGTGAACCAGGGGATGGAAGACCCATCTCTCTCTGTCTCTCCCTCTCTGTAACTAGGCCTTTCAAATAAATAAAACTTTAAAAAAAAAATCCATCTTCGCATCATCAGTCTGGGCTTTCACTTTCACGTGGCTGAATGTGCCAGACTTCCTGAGCTGGTGCTGTCTCTGGGCTCCAAGTCAGGCTGGGAGCCGTGGAATCATGGGAGAGGAGCTGGGTGTGTTACCAGTGGCAGCTTCACCCTCAGAATGGTAGAGACAGCAGCCCGGTTTTTAAAGGGGCACTCACCTTTCCTCCAAGGGTTGCATTTGAGGGTGCTAGACCCTCCCGGCCGGAATGGGTGCCCCCTCTCCGTGGCCATCAGCTGGAAGCAGCCCAGTGCCGGCCACACCACAGAGCAGGGGCCGCGTTTCGGTCCTGACTGTGCCCTGAGTTGGGTAGTTTAGCATAATACACCAGCCACCCTCTGTGACCTTGGAGAAGACCCAGTCTTAACGTAGCGCAAGGGAGCAAGATGTTCTAATTCAGATAAACTTCACCACATGTGCTGTCACTCACCGGTGTCACGTGTCTTGATTTCACGAAGCTTCCTAGCTGCCATGACCTGGGCTGCCTCTCTCTTCCTCGCTCTGGCGCAAGCGCGGCGGCGGGCTGCTGACTTCGTCGCTCGGCAGGTGGAGAAGCGCTCCCTTCTCTTGCCTTCCTCCTTCGCAGCTCAGCTTTAGGTCGCACTTCAGGCATTGCTTCTTCCAGGAAGATTGCCCTGATCTCCCAAGTCCGGAGGGTCCCGTGTAGGCTCCTCATAGCATCCTAAGCAACTGCTTCTCCTCCGAGTACTTGCGGTAGGTCGCTTTACAGATGAGAGGGGCGGATCTGTATGTGACACCGCAGATTCCCGCCGGTCCCCTTTGCTTGGCCACTTCAGGGAAGAGACCCTACTCAGAGGAAAGCACTGGGCGGTCCCGAAAGCGTGAGACTCCCCCAGTTGAAGCGTTGAGAGCTGGAGAGTGCCTCCCGGTAGGAGGGGCTCCAGTTGCTTTCTGAGTTCTGCAGCTCACTCTTTGTCTCTTGCCTTCCTCAGCGCTGGAAGCCGCAAGGCAGTGAGGAGTATGAAGCTGAAGGTAAGAGCCCAGCGGGTGTCGGGACCTGCCGGGAGGGAAGGGTTGGCTGTTGTTCATAGGGTACTCCCCAGACCTCACCTTCCTGGGTCTCTTCTACGGGAGACAGCAACACAAGTATATCCCCCGCTGATAGCTCATAGCCTTAAAATCCTCGCGTTTAACACCTGCAAGAGATGGCACCTAGGATGTAGGATCCTACTTGCGGGCTAATGACTCTTTGAGACAGACTATTAATTTGCTAGCAGTCCTAAGTGTGTTAAAATCCTTTGCCAAGTACCAAGCCAGTGTTATTAAGCATCAGAACGTGTTGATCCTCTGGCCACCAGAGGGCACTGTGGCTCAGCTGACTCAGCGGGACTGCGGTGTGATGACAGCGCATGCGCAGTAAGAGCTGCTGTCTGTCCAAAAGCAGTAGGATAGCCCTAAGCTCCTCTCCTCCCTCCAGGGTTCTTCCAGGCACGGGCATTGAGCCAGTGATTATCTCACGTTTAAGTGATGTCATCACAGAATCCCTAATATGTGAGTGCACGACAGCCCAGTAGGGCCTTGTAATAAACACACCTAAGGAGTCTGGCTTCTTAAACAAGCTCATCGGATCCTTAAGTCTCCAAATTGAACTTACCTTGAATATATCGGCCATCAGGACCTTGCACCTGGCAAACCATTTCTTCTTTCACGTTGGTCTGTTTGGTTTCTGTAGGTCCAGATAGTCACATGTGCAGATTTAGAGGCAGGCTCAGAGTAAAAATCTTGAAATATAAAATTCTTTTTCTGTCCAGTAAAAGCTACTTTTGTACTTGGACCGGAACATGGAGACAGGTAACAGTAGTTGAAGCAGGGTTTATAAAGCACTTTGGAATGGCTCTCAGGCAGCCTCATAGTCACCAACAGGGTCAGCTGGTGACGGTCTCAGCTGGGATAAAGGCAGCCACGAGCCCCGTGCAGTGGAGCCCTAGAAATGGTGTTCCTCACACAGCCGCAACTGCCGGGAGACACAGCCCTCCCTGCCTGTCTGATCTGGCAGCAGCCTAAGGACGGGAGGTTCCATTGCGTCGGCCCTTCAGGCATGTATCAAAATGGATTCGGTCGTGGGTGTTTATTTTCAAAGCCACATTTTTTTTCCCGTTGGGAATAGGCGATCTGTCTCTCTGATTCCTTTGGAGACAGCACAGTTTACTGGCTGTCATTTCAGGCCAGTTAAGGTTTTGGAACCCAGACGATTTGAATGCCTCGCCGAGCGGGACTGCCCCTCCCCCCGACTGGATAGAAGAGAAACTTCAAGAAGTGTGCGAGGATTTGGGCATCACCCGTGATGGTCACCTGAACCGGAAGAAGCTGGTCTCCATTTGCCAGCAGTACGGCCTGCAGGATGTGGACGCGCAGGTAAGCCTGGCTGTGTGCCTCCACTCAGGAGTCGCGCTGCTGAGAGAGGCGTAGCTGGCCCCTCGCGAGCGTCTGCTCTCTGGTGGCTTCTGCAGCTCGCCAGACTCCATTGGCTTCTTTCCTAGGAAGTCCTACCTGAGGATTTGTGTATGTTGGGGGGGGGGGGGGGGAGGGACCACAGTGATTGACACATCTGGAGCCTGTGCCACGTGCCCAGCACTGCTGACGGAGCACAGGACCACAGGCAGCCACCGGGCGCCAGCTCACTGCAGCCACAATGCCACATACATCGGGAGAGGTGTCACTCACCGAGAAGACTGGGGAACACTCCGGACGGAGACATCGGCAGGTTGTTCAGTAGATTTTTGTTGGTGGAATATTTTGAACACCAGGCCGATAAGCCTGGGTTCTTAGGAAGCTTGTGATGGCATCCTCGGGTCCTTCAGCAGACGTGAGCATTTATCAGAAAACGGAGTTGTCAAGGGAGGGTTGCACGGCTTTCGTGTCTTGGCGTGAGGAAGCCGTGGTCGAGCAGCCAGGAGCCGTCACCGTCACCATCTCTGGTCACAGGGAGATGGGGAAGTGTCAGTGGTTGCTCTGAACATATAAATAAGAGTTTGGAAGGTGCGGCCAGCAGACTCTTAATTTGTACAGCTCCAAGCGTGATGCTCTCTAAAAAACAGAGGGAACCTGCAGGACCGGGCCCATGAGTAGCTGTGAAACACAGGAAGGTAAATCATTCCAAGATGCGTCTTGCACAGGGCTGAAAAGGAGGATTAGAGAGAATTAGAGGTGAGGGCCACCGTGGTAGCCTTGGGAGTCTTTGATTGTAATGCCACGTGCTGACTGCTTGCTCCAGAGGATAAGTGGTATTGGCTTCCTAAACAAGAAGGAGATTTCTCATCGAAAGCTTCTGAGGAGCCCGGCTTGCAGAAAAGGGTTTTTCCTTCTCACTCGTGTATGCGGCCACTGCACGCCCCTTGACCACCTGTGTAACAGCTCAGAGGGAGTTGATTTGTTGGTGGACTCATAAAATCTCCTCCTAAATTGTAAACCAGTGCAGTGTGCAGAACCTCGGGTTGCTTTGTTGCCAAGAAATATTGCACGAACTTGGATTATTTATCCAGAAACAATTCTTGGAATGAACTTGCAAGCAGCTGCACGATCTTCTATAGCAGGGGTCTCCGAAACCCAGGTCTGCGGCTGGGGGGAGAGTGGGGGTCGCCTACTGAGCATAGCTTCTCCTTAGTGCCTTTCCTCCTAGAGGGCGTTCTTGCCCTCTCTCCAGCACTGTCTCCAGTTAGCTTTAAACCTCAGAGAGGCTGAGTGTTGGAGATGATCTCCTTAACATGCAGCTCAGAGTCCTACACGTGACAGCTGAGAGCAACGTGAGATTCCGTCACTGCCCTGTCTCGCGTACCCAGGAAGTGTGGTCACTGCTGCCCACTTCGGTAAGGGACACTCCAGTCACCGTCTCACTGCCAGGGCTGGGAGTGTCAGGGTGGGGATGGCAAACTGGCCCTCTGGATGCCAGATCTGGCCCAAAGCCTCTTTCATTTGGCTTCCCTGTGCTTATTGAACAACTGTATCTTCTGGGACCAGTGGTGTGGTGCAGCAGGTTAAGCTGTTCTTGCACTGCCCACGTCCTATATCACAGAGCCAACTCCAGTCCCAGCTGCTCCACTTCCGATCCAGCTCCCTGCTAATAGCCCTGGGAAAGCTGCAGAAGATGGCCCAAGTGCTTGGGCCCCTGCTACACACATGGGAGACCCGAAAGAAGCTCCTAGCTCTTGGCTGAAATAAATCTTTTTTATTTGAAAGGTAGTTACAAGTGGAGAGAGGGAGAGAGAGAAAGTTCTTCCATCTGTTGGTTCACTCCCCAAATGGCTGCAATGGCCAGAGCTGAGCTGATCCAAAGCCAGGAGCTTCTTCCTGGTCTCCCACGTGGGTGCAAGGGTCCAAGCACTTGGGCCATCTTCCACTGCTTTCCCAGGCCATAGCAGAGAGCTGGATTGGAAGATGAGCACGCAGGATGAACCAGCACCCATATGGGATGCTGGCACCACAGGTGGAGGCTCAGCCTACTAAGCCACAGCGCCAGCCCCTCAAATCTTTATTAGAAAATGAATTTTCTAAAAAAAAAGAAAATGAATTTTCTGCTACTTTTTTTTTTTTTAAATCAGGAGAGGTTTGCAAAACTCCCAAGATGAGGCTGTATTCCGTGGGCAGTGAGACGCAGCTGGCTCCTTCAGAGAGGGCATAACCTCGGGTTCCATTCCACAGCTCTTGCTGCTTTCTGAAGTCTTAAACCCTTCCTGCCTCAGTCATTTGCATCACCTTCTGGGTTCCTTGGGCTGTTTGGGTTTGCGATCTCTATTCTAGTGCCACAGGAAACCTGCCATCCAAAGAGCTGGCGAGGGGATTGTGGGGAATCGGGTGTCCGCACAGTTCCAGCTGCAGCTCCTGCTCAGAGCACAGGGGTGCCCTTGCTGTCCATTTCACCTGCATTCTGCCCGTCTGCCCTCTGCTGAATTCACATCCTTCTATGCACCCCTAGGCCACTCTGCCATCTGTCGTAACTGCAGCCCTCACCTGCCCCACCGCTTTGACTGCTCCAGGTGAAGGGTGTCAGGCAATCAGCTGTGTACTGATTTGGCCGAGGTCATAAGGTTGAGCAGTGTGGATCTGTGGTTAGTGCCAGAGTCAGCCTTCTTAATTCCCATCACTGCACCTGGTTTCCAGTGCAGCTTCCGATTGGATGACCTTGATGACCGCGTTCCTGTGGATGATAAGGAGGAGGCACAAAAACCCAAGAATTTTGTGCTATGCATACCTCTCTGTTGATTTGATCGCAAGAGTCTCTGTTAGGAATTCTTGGTTCTCCCGATGATTTCCATGCTCTGGAAATTTCTTAACTACAGAGGCAGCATTAACAAAGCAAAAATTAGAGTCAGTGTGTGGCATGGCAGGTTAAGCCACAGCCTGCAATGCCTGTGTGGGCACAGGTTCAAATCCCGACTGCTCCACTTCTGATCCAGCTCCCTGCTCATGCACCTGGGAAAGCAGGGGAAGATGGCCCAGGTTCTTGGGCTCCTGCCACCCACTTGTGAGACCTGAATGAAGCGTGTGGCTTCAGTCTGGCCCAGCTCTTGCATTTGCGGACATTTGGGGAGTGAACCAGCAGATGGAGGATCTCTCTCTGTGTCTCTCCTCTTTCTCTGTAACTCTGACATAAAAAAAAAGAGAAAGAGAGAAAATGGAGACTGCTGTTTCCTTGTCAGTGTGAAGTGGAAAACAGAGATAAAAGAAATGCCTCAAGGGTTTTTATGAAGGATGAAACCAGTGCTGGGTAGAGCAGTTAAGACACCATCTGGGACGCCCAGATTCCAAGCCAGAGTGCTGGGGTTCGAGTTCCCAGCTCTGCCCTGATCCCGTCTTGCAGCTGAAGCACATCTTGGGAGGGTGCAGGTGCACTGTGAGGGACAGCAGGTGATGACTCACGTAGTTGGACCCCTGGTCCTGCCATGGGGGACCCAGACTGAGTCCCTGGCTCCTGACTTTGGCCTAGCCCAGCCCTGGCTATTGCAGACATTTGGGAAGTGAACCAGAAGATGGGAGATTCTCCTCTCTCTCTCTCTCTCTCCTCTCTCTCTCTCCTCTCTCTCTCCTCTCTCTCTCCTCTCTCTCTCTCTCTCTCTCTCGTTCACTCTTTTACTTTATTTTTAAAGATTTGTTTATTTCTGGTGGGGGGAGCCATTGTAATCCATAAGCTGTACTTTGGAAATTTATATTCATTAAATAAAAACTAAAAAATAAAAATTAAAAAAAAAGTCACAGTCAAAAAAAAATTTGTTTATTTCAAAGGCAGAGTTACAAAGAGAGAAGAAGAGACAGAAAGGGATATTCCAGCCACTGGTTCACTCCTCAAATGTCTGTAATTGCTGGGACTAGACCAGGCTGAAGCCAGGAGCCTGGAACTCCATCCGGGTCTTTCACATGGGTGGCCAGCGCCCAAGCTTTCAGACCATCATTTGTTGCTTTCCAAGGAGCATCAGCAGGGATTGGACATGGAGCATCCAGGACGCAAACTGGTGCTCTTATAGGATGCTGGCATCACAGGCTGTGACTTAGCCCACTGTGCCACAATGCCAGCCCCACTATGCCTTTCAAATGAATAAAATAAATAAGTTTTAAAAGAATAGTACCTGAGGCCGGTGCCGCGGCTCAACAGGCTAATCCTCCACCTAGCGGCGCTGGCACACCGGGTTCTAGTCCCAGTCGGGGCACCGGATTCTGTCCTGGTTGCCCCTCTTCCAGGCCAGCTCTCTGCTGTGGCCCGGGAGTGCAGTGGAGGGTTGGCCCAAGTGCTTGGGCCCTGCACCCCATGGGAAACCAGGAGAAGCACCTGGCTCCTGCCATTGGATCAGTGCGGTGCGCCGGCCGCAGCGCGCCGGCCACAGCAGCCATTGAAGGGTGAACCATCGGCAAAAGGAAGACCTTTCTCTCTGTCTCTCTCTCTCTCTGTCCACTCTGCCTGTAAAAAAAAAAAAAAAAAAAATACCTGGGGCCGGAGCTGTGGTGCAGCGAGTTAAAGCCCTGGCCTGTAGTGCCAGCATCCCATATGGGCACCAGTTCTAGTCCCGGCTACTCCTCTTTCGATCCAGCTCTCTGCTATGGCCTGGGAAAGCAGTGGAAGATGGCCCAAGTACTTGGGAGACCCGGGTGGAGTTTCTGACTTCTGCCTTCAGCCTGGCACAGCCCTGGGTATTGTGGTCTTTTGGGGACCAATAGATGGAAAATATTTTTCTCTCTCTCTGTCTCTCATTTATTCATTCACTCTGCCTTTCAAATAAAATTAATCTTAAAAAAGGTAAAGCCGCTGCCTGCAGTGCCGGCATCCCATGTGAGCGCTGGTTCAAGTCCTGGCTGCTCCACTTCCGATCCAGCTCTCTGCTGATGTGCCTGGGAAGGCAGCAGAGGATGGGCCAAGTCCTTGGGCTCCTCTACCCACACAGGAGATGGAGGAAGCTCCTGGCTTCTGGCTTCAGATCAGCTCATCTCTGGCCATTGCGTCCATTTAGGGAGTGAACCAGTGGATAGAAGACATCTCTCTCCCTGCCTCTGCCTGTAACTCTGCCATTCAAATAAATAAATAAATATTTAAAAAGAAAGAAAGACATGCAGACTCAGAGGCCCAGCCCAGACTGAGCAGAGCAGAGTCTGCATTCAAGAGATCCCAGGTGATTTCTGCTCCGTGCAGTGGAGGCCCGTTCACGGACAGACATGTTCACCCCTGAGATACGGAGGCTCCGCCTGCCAGGGTGCGGGTTTGCTGTCCCTTTCTGCTGGTAGCTTCAGCGACTCACTGTGCTCCGTCCCCCTTCCTATTCCTCTGTGGGGCTGGGGAACAGACTGTCTCAGGCCAGCCTCTGGGTGGGACTGTGTTCAGTCTCCCTGTGCCCTGTTCTGTGATGACAACTGCTAGATCGTGGGCAGAGGGTACAGGACAGCTGTCTAAGCCCCCTTGGCTACAGCTCCTGGAGCCCACCAGTTGCACACAAAAGCCTCCTCATCCAGTCTGTTTCTCTTGAGCCAAAGCATTGGAACAAAACCCAGACACACCCTGTGGTGTCCTGAGGCCCTAGTTAGGGGCTTAAGACCCGAACTCTTCAGTCTTTGCCATCTGTCTGAAACCACGTCGCTCTGCTGTGTCGGCCCACAGGTTTCAAAACTGCGTAGATGCCACTTATCACCTGGTGGCATCACAGTATAAAAGAAGAATAAGGGGCCGGTGCCACAGCTCAATAGGCTAATCCTCCGCCTGCAGCACTGGCACACTGGGTTCTAGTCCTGGTTCGGGGCGCCGGATTCTGTCCCGGTTGCCCCTCTTCTAGTCTAGCTCTCTGCTGTGGCCCGAGAGTGCAGTGGAGGATGGCCCAAGTCCTTGGGCCCTGCACCTGCATGGGAGACCAGGAGAAGCACCTGGCTCCTGGCTTCAGATTAGCGCGGTGTGCCAGCCCCAGTGGCCATTGTGGGGTGAACAACGGAAAAAGGAAGACCTTTCTCTCTGTATCTCTGTCCACTCTGCCTGTAAAAAAAAAAAAAAAAAAAAAAAAAAACTGTGTGGATGCCATGTATCACCTAGGGGCACTGCAGTATAAAAGAATAATGAGGGGCTGGCGCTGTGGCATGGCAGGTAAAGCTGCTGCCTGCAGTGCCGGCATCCCATATGGGCTCCAGTTCAAGACCTGGCTGCTCCACTTCCAATCCAGCTCTCTGCTGTGGCCTGGGAAAGCAGTAGAAGATGGCCCAAGTCCTTGGGCCTCTGTACCCGAATGGGAGACCCAGAAACTCCTGGTCCTTGGCTTTGGATCAGCACAGTTCTGGCCATTGCAGCTAATTGGGGAGTGAACCAGTGGATGGAAGACCTTTCTCTCTCTCTCTCTGCCTCTCTCTGTGTAACTCTGACTTTCAAATAAATAAATAAATCTTTAAAAAAAATAATGAATGTTTCTATTGTTGACACTGGGAAGCTAAATCTTGATATTTTAAAGTTACTTTTTTAATTTATAATAATAGGTAGCAAAATTTAAGACATCTGTTGAAGTGTGAGTAAGAGAGAAAGCAATGACTAAATTGCATAAGATAAGGAAGATGCTGCAAATGGACGTTCACGTCATTGGTGTGAGGTGGCAAGAGACGGTAAACTCAGTCAAGTGAGAGTAAAGGGACGTAGTAGCCGAGCGTATGGACTTGTGGGCGCCACACCGGTGCTGACTTCTGTTGGCCAGGAGTGTGCTTTGGGCCTTGTGTTATTCTGCGTAAAATACGTGGTTGCTCTCTTCTAGACGCTTGAGGAAGCATTCCATAACCTTGACCCTGAAGGCACCATGAGTGTGGAAGACTTTTTCTACGGTTTGTTTAAACACGGGAAGTCCCTTACGCCCTCCGCATCGACTCCGTACAGACAGCTGAAAAGGCACCTCTCCATGCAGGTAAAAATGCCAGAAGGCGGCTGTGAAAGGCGAACCCGTTTGGATCATTGCCAGGGAGGTGACGTGCCGTGTGAGGCGTAAAGAGTCAGACAGACTCAACTATCAGGAAGGGGAGTGTGGGCTGAGGAATGATCCTAAATGAGCCCAGGCCACTACACAGGCCTGTTGGTGTCAGCTCGGGGCCTGAAGAAGCCCTCAGTAGAAGCACATGTTGTCTAAGTCACAGCACCCCCTGAGGAGCTCTGTGAGCCTGCCTGGCCCGGAGCAGAGCGCACAGCGGCCGCGTGCCCTTGCTCGCTAGCAGTGGCCGGCAGTCGTGCTCGTCGTGGTCAGCACTGGCCACGCCCGGGCTCGCCCGGCAGCTTGTCGAGATGCTCAGAGCCAGGCTCAGCTTGCTGCGGTCCCTTTTCCTCTTGTAGTCCTTTGATGAGAGCGGCCGGCGCACCACGACCCCCTCCGGCAAGACGGGCACCGTTGGCTTCCGGGTCTTCTCCAGCCTGGATGACGGCATGGGCCAGGCCTCCGTGGAGAGAATCCTGGACGCCTGGCAGGAGGAGGGCATCGAGAACAGCCAGGAGATCCTGAAGGTCTGGCCCCCAAACGGGAGGAGAGTGGCAGGCTGGGGGAGGGTTGAAAGTCTCCAGTTCTTTCCGGGACTCTGTGATCTGACTTGATTTTACTTCTTGATTCTTCTGTTCACAAGATCTCAGAGATCAGCAGGTAAGTGACTTTTCCTACCTTGAGTGAGTCATCTGTGGCTAATTACTTGCCCTATTTGTAACCCCAAAATTATTGATGTGAGAAATGTTCTTAACTATCTCTACTTGGAACAGACTAGAATTATACCATCGTTTTGAGTGACAGTACTGGACATTGTTTTATTACATGGAAATAACTGATAGCCATATTATACTCTGCTTAAAGAGAACTTCGTTAAATTCTAGAGTGAAGATTGTTCTTTTTTTCTTTAAAGATTTATTTATTTACTTGAAAGTCAAAGTTACACAGAGAGAGAGAGAGAGAGAGGTCTTCCATCTGCTGGTTCACTCCCTAGTTGGCCGCAATGGCCAGAGCTGTGCCAATCCAAAGCCAGGAGCCAAGAGCTTCTTCTGGGTCTCCCATGAGGGTGCTGGGGTCCAAGGACTCGGGCCATCTTCCACTGCTTTCCCAGGCTGTAGCAGAGAGCTGGATTGAAGTGGAGCAGCCAGGGCTTGAACCTGTGGCCATAAGGGATGCCGGCAATGCAGGCAGCAACTTTACCCACTATGCCATGGCATGGCTCCTAAAGATTATTCTTAAGCAGTCACTAAAGAAATGCACCCATCCCGATCTAGATTGTACTTAGTCCCCTGAGTTTGTATGACCTTCACGTTCTCTGCTTTCGGAGGATAGAACTTGTCATTTTTTCTTGAACTTCTGTTCTGATTTTTAGGCCTTGGATTTCAGCCTTGATGGAAATGTCAACCTGACAGAACTGACACTGGCTCTTGAAAATGAACTTTTGGTCACCAAGAACGGCGTCCACCAGGCGGCTCTGGCCAGCTTCAAGGCTGAGATCCGGCACTTGTTGTGAGTTGAGCAGGTTTGCCTGCCCCATCCCTTTGCCTGCTTGCCCATCGAGTCCATCAGATGCCCTCAGCAAAGTCCCCTGTTCTGTTCTTCCATTCTGGGTGCACCTGTGGCTAATCTTCTCTCACTGAACTAGGAACAGATCTTCCTACCACAGTAGGAAAGGGAGGCGGAGCTTAGACTGGCGCGCAGGCTGTGGAAGGCCCCTTTGTTGGGGAGAGTTTGGGTTGTCTTGGTTTTGGCCTCACACTGAAGCAAGCCAGAGGAGAGCTTTTTCAGGTCCCTCTGCTGCCTAGAAACCGTTTCCCGTTAACTCCGTTTGTTTCTGATTCCAGAGAACGAGTGGATCAGGTGGTCCGAGAGAAAGAGAAGCTGCGATCAGACCTGGACAAGGCTGAGAAGCTCAAGTCCCTCATGGCCTCGGAGGTGGACGATCACCACGCGGCCATCGAGAGGCGGAATGAGTACAACCTCAGGTGCGACCCCTAGGGCGACTCCTCCTCCCCTTCCCACCGCCCTGGCTCGCGCGGGGGCGCCTGCAGCTACAGGGCCGCAAAGGCAGGGGGCGCTGTGCCTGCTTGGCCGCCGCTAGCTCTGGTGGTTTAGCTGTGGCCAAGCCTAAGAGAAAGCAGGACACCCTAGGTATTTGCAGGAGGGCGTCTGCCTCTCTGACTAAGCTTCCATCTTTGGCAGCTGCTTGGAGGGACCAGGGAGGGATTTGATGGTAGCTTCTCGACTTTCCCTCCTCGCAGGAAACTGGATGAAGAGTACAAGGAGCGCATAACCACTCTAAAGAATGAACTGCAAAGAGAGAGGGAGCAGATCCTGCAGCAGGTGGGCAAGCAGCGTGGAGAACTTGAGCAGGAAATCGAAAAGGCGAAAACAGAAGAGAACTACCTCCGGGACCGCCTCGCGCTCTCTTTGAAGGTAATGATCTTGTCGGTGCTGGGGTCTGTGTCCCTGCTGGAGACGCCCGGTGGAACTGTCCCGCCTGCCAGGGGACAGGTATGTGCAGGGCTCGGTCCCAGCTTGTCTTGCTGTGTGTCTGCCCTGCTGGCCTCTGGGTTGCAAGCACACCCAGGCTTCTGGTGTGCTGACAGCACTGACGAGTGGTGATCTTGTCCTTGTCATTGCCCTGCCGTTGCTTGGGGTCGTCAGGGCTGTGTGGTGCTGGTTGACACCCTCGTGCCCACAGCCTCTCTTCCAAGCCCATCCTTCTCCCTCAGATCCCTTCCTCATTCCCTGCTGGTCCTTACCCAGCGGGTGGCTCACCTCCTGCCACACGGAGGCTGTTTCTCTCTGCACCCTCCCTCTCCTCCTGGGCCTCTGTGGAGGAAGTGGTCCCTCTCTTTTCCAGATTCCCTCACCAGAAAAGCTGGTGCAGGGGCCTGGGGTCAGCTGGCCTGGTTGCAGTCTGGGTTCCCCCACGTGCTGGGAAGCCTGGACCAAGTCACCCACCCCTGTTTCCGAATGCACACGTGGGTGCCGTGGTAACGCTAACACCCACGTCCACCCTGGGCGTTGGTGTGGGGCTCATCTCATCCGGTGCATTGTGCAAAACCGTGAGTACAAATGAAACGTGTGCCACGGCTGCTCTTAGGAAAGCTTCCTGGAACATCACACATCAAAAATAGAGCTAATTATCACTCCCTCACCAGCCAACTGCCTCCTCTCCGGAATTTTCTTGCTGAGCCCCGTGATCACCATGTGCTGAAATCCCAGGAGCTGGCGTTCTCAGTGTCCCTCACCTGTGGTCCGTTTGTCCATCTCAGAGTCGCGCTGATGCTCTCCAGTGCCTCTGCAGTGTGTCCCCTCCCTGCTGTCACAGCGACCTTCCTAGGGATCCATTTTGGTGAGGCTGGTGCACTTTATAAAAGCATGGCCACCCGTGAGCAGTCCAGGCCGCAGAAAGGGGGCTCATTGCCCCCATCTGTGCCTTCCTCGCCCAGCTCCTGCCGGCAGCTGCCAGCCCCATGCCCATGCCCCCACTGTACCTCCACCAGCTCTCTTACTTCCTCAGGGCCAAACCCTTTGACCCCTTCCCAGCTGTCCCCAGCCTGCAGGCCCAGTGACAGCTGCATCCGCGTCTCAGTCGATTCTTTGTCGCCAGGGGATGGTGCATTTCCTGGCACAGCCTAGGCAGCTGTGTCCGCATCCACTTCTCTCCCTGTGCTCAGCACCGCTCTCTGATTTGTCCGAGCCCCAGCACCACGCCTGATACACAGCGATGGCATCTTAGTGTCTTAGCATCTGAGCTGAGATGTATTTTGAACAATTAAAGTTATAGAATTGGCATCTTAGGAGAAGTTGGCATTTGAAAAATAATGCTTCAAATACATTCTTCTGTGCTCCATATTGCTATGTGAGGGTGTGAACTAGAATATATTAAAGAATGTACTGGCTCTATATCCTTTTGGCAAGATAATCTTTGAAAATAATGTTCTGCCAATCAGCCTTTAACACTGGAGGGGAAAATATCAAATGGCTTGTATATGGATTTTTTTTCTTCAACAAATGCGGGTGGAAATCTTTCTCAAAACTATTGTATATGCAGGTCCAGTTTTTATTTCTTTTTGAAAGGGAGAAAAAGAGAGGGAAGGAGAAAGAAGGCTACCATCTGCTAGATCACTCTCCAAATGCCTGCAATGGCCAGACCTGGAGCCAGGAAGTCAGTCCGGGTCTTGCACATGGGTGGCAGAGACCCAGGCACTCGAGCCATCATCTGCTGCCTCCCAGGGTCCACGTTAGTAAGAAAGTAGCATTGGGAACAGAGCCAGGAACCAAACTTGGTCTCTCTGATACACGATGCTTGCAATCTAACCAGCATCTGAACCACGAGGCGTTATGCCAGCCCCTCAGGCCCTTTTAAATGAAGAAGAAAAAGACTTTATGAGGGTTTCGGTTGATATTTTATATAAGAATTTAACCATGCACAGATCATGAGCAGCTTAGATGCATAGCTTTTATATCCTTAACCAGAATTAGTTTATAAAATACACTAGAATATCAGTATGTTAAAATTGATTTTATTCTACTTTTTGTAGCTTTTCTGATTTCTACTGGCAGCTGAACAAAGTATTTTGTAACCAGTTTTCTTTCATTTTACAGTATATTTTTATACTTTCACATCATTGAGTATTCTATTGCAGTGTTGTCCAAGGAAATACAATGCAAGCTACATGTGGAATTTCAAACTTGTAAATAGCTCTGAGAAAAGGTAAAAAGAAACAGGCAAAATTATTTTTAACTCATCTAGTATCTCCAAGACATTGTCATTTGGCATGTAATCAGTATACACAAAATATTACTGAGCTATTTTGTATTTTTGTACTATTCAAAATATGGTAATTTATACCTACAGCTCATCCCGGTTTATATGAGGGCATTTGAAAAAGTTTTTGGAGAAACTGAAATAGAAGATAATTTTGGTGCCAAAATTTTGAAACCCATGCATAATTTTCTGATAAGACTCATTTTCCATAAATTTCTTGAAGACTTCTGTACTAGATGTATTTCAAGTGTTCTGTATCTACATGTGGCTGCTAGTGGCTATCATGCAATACTGTTGTTTTGTTTTATATATTTTTAAAGATTTATTTATTTGAAAGACATTTATTTTTTTAAGGTTTATCCATTCATTTGAATGGCAGAGCCACAGAGAAGCAGAAGCAGAAGCAGAAAGAGAGAGAGGTCTTCCATCTGTTGGTTCACTCTCCAGATGGCGGCAATGGCCAGAGCTTCAATGATCCAGAGCCAGGAGCCTCCTTTGGGTCTCCCACACAGGTGCAGGGGCCCAAGCACTCGGGCCATCTTCCACTCCTCTCCCAGGCCACAGCAGAAAGCAAGATCGGAAGTACAGTAGCTGGGACTCAAACCAGTGCCAGCACTGCAAGTGGTGGCTTTACCCACGGCACCGCAGCGCCAGCCCCTGTTTTTTTCTTTTTTGAGAGTCACCCAGAGAGAGAGGGAGACATAAATAGTTCTCATCGCAAATTACTTCAATAGCCTAGGGCCAGGAACTCAATCCAAGTCTCCTCCGTGGCTGGCAGGGATCCAACCACCTACGGCATTGTCCACTGCCTCCGAGGGTCTGCATTAACAGGAAGCTGGAGCCAGGAGCAGAGCTGAGCCTGAAGCCTGGCGCTCTGATAGGAGACGGGTCTCACAGCATCTCTACTGCCAGGCTCAAAGCCTGCCCCCCAGCGGTCATGGCGGGCAGCACAGTTCTACAGGATCAGAAAAACAAAAACTCTTGGTTCTGACTCTGGGTTAGGAGATAGATGGCGAGTCTTTCACACCTACTTTTGTCTCCTCTAGTCTTTTTTAACTGAATTTCGACACAGAGGCAGGCATTGTCTTAAGCCAGAGCACTGATTTGAGCTTCACATACGATGGGACTGCAGTTGGCTTCTTTCTAACTCCGTGCCACATCCCATTTCCCCAAACCTCTTCAGGAAAACAGCCGTCTGGAAAAAGAGCTGCTGGAAAATGCAGAGAAGTTGGCGGAGTACGAGAATCTGACCAACAAACTCCAGCGAAATTTGGAAAATGTGTTGGCCGAAAAGGTAAATCCGTTGAAGTCTGCTTTCCCGATAGCGCAAAAGCAGAAAGCAACGCCCAGAACATTTTTGTTAGGAACGTACGTGGGTGGTTATAGAGAGCTATGATTTCGGCAGGGATGTCATTTAGCAGCTTGGGGATGGGGGAGCCACGGCCGGGCACTATGATCTCTGCCTTGGTTGGGCTCGTCCCTCTAGAATGTTCTCTCCAGCATCCAGCTGCTGGTGTGTCTCCCAGCTACCACATTCCTTTCATACTCGAGAGACGGGTTGGCTGCCAGAAGCTGGGGCTTTGAGTGTGTTAGGTCACAGAAGGGCACTCGAGAAAATGACAGCTTTGACCTTTCCCCCTCCCAGTTCGGGGACCTCGACCCCAGCAGTGCCGAGTTCTTCCTGCAGGAGGAGAGGCTGACCCAGATGAAGAATGAGTATGAGCAGCAGTACAGGGTAAGTGGCCGGGGGGGAGTGAGTGCATGGGGGGGTGCCGGGTTCCAGTCCCTGCCTCGCTGTTTCCCAGCAGTGTAACCATGAGCAGGGCAGTCAGGGGGGTGGGGGGGGGCTTCAAGTCCACATCTGGAGGATGGCAGAAACACAAATGCCCACCACGCGGCATGGGGGTGAAGATTTCTTGAGTGGATGTGTGCATGGTGTGCTTAGAAGCCAACCAGGCAAGTAACAAGCACGCACAGAAACGTTGGCTGCCGCTATTACCACCCAGCACCTTGAACTCACTGCGTGCCCGTCTCCTATAGCTAGGACTGAAAACTGCTGGTGCTCAGAGGGAAACACGGTTTGATTCCTAGTGGGGAATATGTTTTCATGTTGATGTGCTTGTTCCAGAATTAGCCTTCCCTGACTAACCACTGCAGGACTAGTCAGATGGGATTTAGTTTTTCTGTGTCTTTTTTTTTCCTTGAGATTTATTTATTTACTTATTTGAAAGGCAGTGTTACATTCAGAGAGGGGGAGACAGAGACATCTTCCATCTGCTGAGTCACTCCTCAAATGGCCGCCATGGCCAGGGCTGGGCCAGGCTGAAGCCAAGAGCCTGGGACTCCATCCAGGTGTCCCACATGGGTGGCAAGGGCCCATGTACTTGGGCCGCCTCCTGCTGCTTTCCCAGGCACATTAGCAGGGAGCTGGCTCGGAAGTGGAGCAGCCCACGCCCATATGGGATGACAGCGTCACAGGCGGCAGGCAGCAGCTTAAACTGCTTCACACGCTGCACCACAATACTGGCCCCTGTGGACTCTTTTTTTTCTTTTTCTGAATATATTCCTTTATTTAGAAAATGCAAAAGATGCAGAAACTACTCATGTCTTTAGCTGGTACAGCCATCTGCAGTTCCTACCAGGACAGACATAAACATTCTCATAAATAACAGGAATCTTTTTTATTTTTGATTTTTTTTTTATTTATTTGACAGAGTTATAGACAGAGAGACAGAGAGAGAGGTCTTCCTTCCATTGGTTCACTCCCCAAATGGCCACCACGGCCAGCGCTGCACCGATCCGAAGCCAGGAGCCAGGTGCTTCCTCCTGGTCTCCCATGCAGGTGCAGGGCCCAAGCACCTGGGCCATCCTCCACTGCCTTCCCGGGCCACAGCAGAGAGCTGGACTGGAAGAGGAGCAGCCGGGACTAGAACCCAATGCCCATATGGGATGCCGGCCTGCAGGTGGAGGATTAACCAAGTGAGCCACGGTACTGGTTCCAACAGGAATCTTTGATTACCAAAAACATGAACTCCCCTAAGCTTAGTAATTGGGATTCTTAATTTTCTTAAACCAAAAACACTTCTGTATTTTAGTAAGGTCAGTATAACTGAGGTCTAACTGCTTAAAAAAAAAAAAAAAAATGTGACTGTGCACAGGTGGGCAGGCAGTGACCGGCTTCTGACGTTCTCTGTTCTCTGGCCTCTGCTTTCTACCTGCTCGTTTGAGAAAAGTGACTGACCTTTTCCTGCTTTAAATTACATTTTAACTCTTGGTTCTAACTTAATTCATCAGCAAAACCTTTTAGCTCTACCTCCAGAATTCCCCAATCTGTCCACTTCTTTTTTTAAAACAGCTTTTTTAAAAAAAAATTTATTTTATAGAAAGCTTTTATTTAATAAATATGAATTTCATAAGCACAACTTTTGGATTATAGCAGTTCTTCCCCCCAGACCCACCATCCCACCACCTACTCCCTCTCCCATCCCATTCTTCATTATGATTAATTCTTAATTATCTTTATGTACAGATGATCAACTCTATATTAAGTAAAGATTTCAACAGTTTGCAACCACACAGATACCCAACATATAAAATACTGTTTGAAGACAAGTTTTACCATTAATTCTCATAGTACAACTCATTAAGGACAGAGGTCCTACATGGGAAGCAAGTGCACAGTGACTCCTGTTGTTGATTTAACAATTGACACTCTTATTTATGATATCAGTGATCACCCGAGGCTCTTGTCATGAGCTGCCAAGGCTATGGAAGCCTCTTGAGTCCACAAACTCCAACATTATTTAGACCAAGCAGTAATCAAAGTGGAAGTTCTCTCCTCCCTTCAGATAAAGGTACCTCCTTCTTTGATGGCCCCTTCTTTCCACTGGAATCTCACTCACAGAGATCTTTTATGTAGGTCATTTTTTGCCATAGTGTCTTGGCTTTCCATGCCTGAAAAACTCTCATGGGCTCTTTAGCCAGATCCTAATGCCTTAAGGGCTGAGTCTGAGGCCAGAGTGCTTAAAACAGCTGTTTATACCATATATTTCACCCATTTAAAGTGTACAACTCAGTGTCTTAATATATTCACAGAGTTGTATACTCATCATGCATACTCAATTTTAGAACATTTTCGTCATCCCCCAAAGAAACCCCTACTCCACTCCCATGCTCTACAGCCTTATTAATCCAATTTGTCTTTATTTATTTATTTTTTGTATTAATTTAAAAGGCAGAGAGTGAGTGAGTTATTTCCCACCTGCTGGTTCACTCCCCATATGCCTGCCGTAGCTTAGACTAGTCCCAACTGAAGCCAGGAGTCAGGAAACTCCATCCAGGTCTTCCACGTGAGTGGCAGGGACACCAGTACTTGGGCCGTCGTCTGCTGCTCTTCATTTGCACATTAGTAGGAAGCTAGAGCTGGGACTTGAATCTGGCACTCCAGCATGGAATGTGGCTGTCTTAAGTGGTGTTTTAACCACTGTTCCAAACACCCACCCATACTACTACACTTTCCATAGACTGGCTTTTTTTTTTTTTTCTTCAAGGATTTATTTATTTATTTGAAAGTCAGAGTTACAGAGAGGAGAGGCAGAGGAAAGAGAGAGGTCTTCCATCCGATGGTCCACTCCCCAGTTGGCTGCAACATCTGGAGCTGTGCCAATCCAAAGCCAGGAGTCAGGAACTTCTTCCAGGTCTCCCACATGGGTGCAGGGGACCAAGGACTTGGGCCATCCTCTACTGCCTTCCTAGGCCATAGCAGAGAGCTGGATCAGAAGTGAAGCAGCCAGGTCTCGAACCTGCACCCATATGAGATGCTGGTGCTTCAGGCCAGGGCGTTAACCCATTGCGCCACAGCGTGGGCCCCAATTGTTCTTTTCATTTCCTATGAGTGGAACCACTTGTGATCCTGTGCAATCAGCTTCCTTCACTTAGCGGAGTTTTCCATGGCTTATCCATGTTTGTGTCACAAATCAGTACCTTGTTCCCTCTCAATGGCTCCATTGTACAGATATTTCACATTTTGTTTCATCAAGTAATGGACATCTGGGATGTGGGAGCTACGTTGCATATTGCTGTAAACATTGGTATGGAAGTTTTTCATCTCTCTTGGACATATGCCTACGCATGGAATTGTGGGTATGTGTTAATTTTTGAGGAACTGGCAAAGTTTTCCAAGGTGGTTCCACCATTGTCAGTTCTGCACATAATCATCAACAGCTGTTACTCTGTGCCTCTTTAATTCACGTCTTCCCAGTGAAATAGTATCTCATTGTGGTTTTGAACTGTATTTCCTTGATAGCTAATGATGCCAATTATCTTTTTATAGACTTAATAATTATTGTGTATCTTTGGAAAAATCTATTCAGATCCTTTGCCTATTTTTTTTAAGCGTTATTTATTTGAAAGACAGAGTTAGAGAGGGAGAGACAGAGACAGAGATCTTCCATCTATGGGTTTACTCCACAGATGTCCACAATAGCCAGGGCTGAGCCAGGCCAAAGCTAGGATCCTAGAACTTGATCCATGGGTGACAGGGGCCCAAGGACTTGGGCCATCTTCTGCTGTTTTCCCAGGCTTGTTAGCAGGGAGCTGGATTGGAAGTAGAGCAGCCGGGACTCAAACTGGCACCCATATGGGATGCTGGCTTCACAGGCAATGGCTTAACCCGCTGTGCCATAACACCAGCCCTTTGCCCATGTATTGAGTTCTTTGTCTTTTTAATATTAAGTTATAATAGTCTTTGAACGTTCTAGTTACAGGTCTTTTATCAGATCTACTTGTAATATTTGCAGAACATTCCTCCCAGTTTCGGGGTTACCTTTCTTGATGGTGTCTTTTGAAGCGCAGAAGTCTGGATGTTGAAGATGTCCAATTTATCTATTTTTTGTCTTTTGTTGCTGGTCCTTGGGTGCTGGCTTGTAAACCCCAGGTTTTACAAGACCAAGTGGACGAACTGCAGTCTGAGCTGGAAGAGTATCGCGCCCAAGGCAGGGCACTCAGGGCGCCCGTGAAGAGTTCGCTGGCAGAGGAACTGGATGGCAGTGGCAGTGGCACTGAGCCCGACCACGGTAAACACGTTCGGAGACTGTCTTCTCAGTCTCTGCCTTTGACCTTTGTTGTTAGAACCATGGTTGCACGGCAAAGTACGAATCTTTGGCAACCCGAAAGGAGCAAAAAAAAAAAAAAAAAAAAATGTTGGCATGACTCTGCTTGAGCTATTTCTTTTGTGGTCTGGTTGTTCATTTGTCTTTGAAGTCTTTATGAGCGTATTTCCATGTGAATTTGATATGCATCAGGGAAGGAATGGAAAATTCAAACCACAGGGGTATTTGCTTTATTTATTTAAGACAAACAAAAACCTGGCTCTAAATCTGTGGTCTTCAGAGTTAGAATTCAGACCCTGGGCTGTCACTGACCCCTGCCTTCCTGCAAGAGTGCCTGACTGGTGTGAAGATGGCTCTGGTGAGCGGGCCAGCCACAGACCACATGGTCCCTGGCTGGGTTGCTTTGGCTGTCTCTCCTAAATGCCTGTATTGCCTCTGCAAGACAATACAAATAAGATAAAGAAGGGTTGGTGTTTGGGGAAGATTTGGAGTGGCCATGTTGGAAAGCCAAGTTGGTTACGAGCCCACCCACACTGACCATCAGCCCTCTCCCGCCCTTCCCATATCCTGCCTCTCGTTGGGAGCCCTGAGAATGAACTTCAGGAAGGAATCAGTCATCTCTTCTGTTGTCGGCAGCTTTTCTGAGTGCTGCTGGGGACAGAGTCCAGTTCTCAGGCCATCTATTCCTCCTCTCCCCTACTTACTGTATAATACAGGGGGGAGAGAGGCCTGGAGATCCCTGCTCTGATTCTTGGCTCACTGTGGGCAAGGATGGAGGTCATCGGGCTCTATGACAGGTGTCAGCAACTTCTCTGGGCTATTCCATAGACAAGCAAGTGTTGAGGTTGCTGCTTGTGGGCGTGTGGTGTTGCACCATATTAAGGTGGCCAATACTCTATGTGTTACTTCCCAGTTGGGGACATGCCATAGCATGTGATGTCAATCCGAGCTATCCAAGAAGAATCCCTTTCTCTCATATGCCTGTGACTCCCCACATAGAAAGGTATTTTGGGTCTCCCTATCCCACGAGTGTTAGGCATACTCTGTTTATCTGTGTGCTAGCTCAGCCCCCAACGTAGGCTTTACCATTTTTCTCATGTTCATGGGCAATGCAGAGGTAAACCCAAATGGATGAATTGAGAATCATCCCTCCTCCTACAAGATTAGATTTATCCATGTTCCTAACCTATGCCCCCTCCCAGCTTTTTTTTGTCTTATTTTATTTGATAATTTAAGAGGAGACTCCACCACACTCCAGGAAGTTCATGTGATAATATCTAGTCTCCTGTAATGTTGAGTGATGGGTTGGATAACTTGACCCATGACGTGAAGTCCTCAAGGCATAGCAGCCAATTGGCTGGCCATTCATTCCCCTGTCACATTGCCCCTCTGCTAATTTGTCACTCAGTATTTCTCAGATGGCTAAGAAAGTTGGTTGATTTGACCAAGCTACTCATGGGGCAGCATTTCCATGAAGAGTTGGTCACCCCTAGGCAACACTTTCCACAGCTGTCCCCACCTACTGTTCACAAAGATGGATTCTACTAAGGTTTGTTTTCACTGTCTGGACATGGAGCAATCTGTTCACCTTCCTGTCTTCTTGTTTGCCCTGATGCTTGAGAGGAGAATTCTCTTGGCTTTTGCTGGTTCCTAGTTGGTCACATGTGTGGCAATTCAGGCTGAGGATTCTTCCTTAAGTAAGATAAACTAGAGGGCTCTCCTGAACCTGCGGCAGGATTAATGGTCCCATGTGTTTTCAGGGCTGGGCTCTGAAGAATGCCGTCCGTTGAATATGAGCATTGAGGCAGAGCTGGTCATTGAACAGATGAAAGAACAACATCACAGGGACTTGTGTCGCCTGAGACTGGAGCTGGAAGATAAAGTAAGTCCCTTCCTACCGACCCACTGCTCCGATTTCTTCACACTGTGACAAGCCTTTGTGTGCAGAGCCTTCCTCATTTTTTATTTTGGGGCCCACAGCCTCTGGACAGTTCTACAGGCTAACGACAAGGCCTTTCCCTCCTGGGACAGAGTTTCTTCACAAGGTCTTCAGCCCTGGAAAGCAGGGAACTTGAAGTCCATTGTTATTTCCAACTCATTAACAACATGTCTTAAACATCTTCAAAGGCCCCTTTGAATGCCTTCTGCATTAGCTACAGGTTCTGAACACTGGCTTCCAAACCCTGCACCATGTGCCTTTACCTTCCATTTCCAGTCTGTGATCATTCCTTAGAGTTACCTGTCTCTCAACCACACCAGGTAGTGCACCCTTGTCCAGCAAACTCTGTCCTCTTGTGCTTATGCTATTACTGTTTCCCTCTGCCTCTTGAAAGTCTCCTTACCTTCAGAGTTGACATCCAGTGCTGCCTCTTGCATGAAACTTTCTGAATTTCCCCCAGCCAAATGTGGCTGTTCTCTCCTTAGAATTGAAGTTGAGATAGATAGATATGTAATTTATTTATCTCAGAGGTACAGTTATAGACAAAGAGAGAGAGAGAGAGACAGAGAGTGTGATCTTCCTTCCACTGGTTCATTCCCCAAATGGCTACAACATCCAGAACTGAGCCAATCTGAAGCCAGGAGCTTCTTCTGGGTCTCCTATGTGGGTTCATGGCCCCAAGCACTTGGGCCAATTAACAGTGCTTTCTGAGGCCATAAGCAGAGAGCTGTATCAGAAGTAGAGCAGCTGGGACAAGAACTAGTGCCCACATGGGATGCCAGCGCCATAGGTGAAGGCTTAGCCTACTACACCACAGCGCCAGCCCCAATATATTTTCTATAGCTTTTATATTTTGCATTTTGCCCTGTAGTGTACTTACTGTTGTCTTATACATGTCCAGATTGGTTTCTCCTTGATGGTGGGGACTATGCATTACAATGGTAACTGTAGTCTGTGGTGTACCTGAGAGGTAGTGAATAAATATTTGAATTGAATTGGCTACTTTGAGGCCCTAAAATTGCAGTGGGGAAGGATGCATGGGAAGACAAAGGCTGTCTGGGATGACGAGTTGGCTCAGTTCTTAATAGGGTTGTTCAGAAACTAGTAACACTCAACCAAGTTAGAAACGAAAAGCAAATGATACCTTACTTCCGTGCCCTACCTGAAGTGTTTTTGAATTGCATTGCTTGGAAACAAAGTGGGGAAGCCGAGGCACGTCACAGGGGAAAAGTGCCCTTGCAGCCCCTGTTTCAGAGCCTTCCCAGGGCCACGCGGTGACCATCCTGGTGGTGACTTTGCTCTCTGGCTGCAGGTGCTGCACTATGAACAGCAGCTGCAGGAAAGCAGGGCCGCCCGTGCCAAGGAGCAAGAGGCCCTGAGGCAGGAGCACGAGCACGAGGCGCACACCTTGGCGAAACAAATAAGTGACCTTGAACGGGAAGTGGCAGAACTTCAGGGGCGGGCTGAGGTGCTGACGGATGCGCAGCGGGAGGCCACCCGCAGGCACGAGGAGGAGAAGCGCCAACTGCGAGCGCAGCTGGAGGAGCAGCAGGTGCACCTGCAGGAGAGGCTGCGGCTGGAGCAGGAGCAGGCGCTCAGGGCGAGGCTGGAGGAAGCCGAGGAGAGCTTTCGCCGGGAGAGGGAGGGGCTCTGGACAGAAGAGAAAGTGAGAGGCCTGACCCAGGGCCTGGAGCAGCTTCACCAGGAGCAGCTGAGAAGCCTGGGGGAGAAGCATGCGCTGGAGAAAGCAGAGCTAAGGAAAGAGCTCTCGGAACGGCACCAGCGGGAGCTTCAGGAGGGAAGGTAAGGAGGGGAGGGGAAGCGGGGCGTCCCGAGGTTCCGGTCAGCAGAGGGGACTTGGAAGGCAGCGGAAGGCCTAGCATCCCTGGGATTGAGTAGAGGCATTGACAAGCTTTCTACCATTGTGCCGGAAGCCTCCCTCGGCATTACTGGAACTGGTTTTTGTTTTTGTCTTCAGAAAGCTGAGAATTTGCTTCTTGGTGCCGTCTCGGGCTCCAGCTGAGGCTACAATGACCTGAAATGTGCTTCCTTCCTAGTTCTGTCCGGTCGCTTTGTGAGCTTCCCCAGAGCTGCACACTGTGGTCAGTGGGAGTTCCTCCCCGAGTGAGGGCGCAGTGCTTCAAGTTCACGTCCCTCCCATGAGATCCCCGGCTCACCGGGGCGCTGTGGAGCCTCACACCCTGACAAACTTACTGCCCCTTTATTAAATAAGAGGCAAAAGCAGAGTGAAGCTGTTCCATGCACACCTGTATAGTGTGCGGAACAACCATCCCTCCGTGCTGCTTCATTAAAATGAGGGCGTGGTCTCCATTTCCCAAGTTAGACTTTAGGGTCCTAGGCATGTGACTCTTCAATGTGAAATACCAGTTTAGGTCTTTGGTTTAAAATGCGTGAACACATGCACCCAGGAGTATGCCCAGTTATTTGGTTGCATCAATTTCCCCCTCACTCCAGAGAGAGGTAAGTTTTACATGGAACCATGGTTGCCAGTCTCAGCGCTGAGAAGTAAGACGGCACCCCAGTACACGCGAGTCACAGAGGAGTAAGTGCAGACCGTTTTTGGAAGCATTCCTTGCTTGGGAACCCCCGGTATGCACAGGAAAAAATGTTTTTTGTTTGCCTCTGGCATTGGTGGCAGCACCAGTAATGCTGTATGTTGACCACATTTAGGGAAAAATTGGAAACAGAGTGTACTAGAAGAACGTCTGAGCTAGAAGCCCGGTTTCAGGCCGAGCGCCAGGAAGTCACGCAGAGCTGTGAAGACGCCTTGCAGAGCCTGGAGGGCCGCTACCGCCAGGAGCTGCAAGACCTCCTGGCTCAGCAGCGGGAGGAGAGGTCCCAGTGGCAGTTTGAGAAGGACGAGCTCTCGCAGGAGTGCGCAGAAGCCCGCGAGCGGCTGCAGGAGACTCTGCAGCGAGAGAAAGCCACTTCTCTGGCCCTGACCCAGGAGAGGGAGATGCTAGAGAAAACCTACAAGGAACATCTGGATAGCGTGGCTGTCGAGAGAGAGCGGCTCCTCCGGGACCTGGATGAGCTCAGGAAGGTGTCCGAGCGCCAGCGCCACCAGATCCTGGAGCTGGAGAGGGATCCCTGCAGAGAAGCGAGGGGTGGCGAGCAGGTGCCGCGCCAGGCAGGGGCCGCCGAGCCGCTGGGCAGCCAGCGCCCGGAAAAGCTGGAAAGGGGGCCTGCGTGCGAGAGGCAGGACTTGATGTCCAAGCTGCTGGCTCTGGAGAGCGTGCACAGAGCGACCTGCGAGCAGGCCGATCGCGACAAGGCTGAGATGAGCGCGGAAATCTCCAGGCTCCAGAAGCAGATCGGGGACCTGCAGCAGGCGGCACCGTCTCTCTCCGGGCCGCCGGGCGGCTGCCTGGCGGAGGAAGGAAGCGGAACCACGTCCCTGCTCCAGCAGGGCCAGCAGCTGCTGGAGGAAAACGGAGATGTCCTCCTGAGCCTGCAGAGAGCTCACGAGCGAGCCGTGAAGGAAAACGTGAAGATGGCGACAGAAATTTCGAGGTTGCAGCAGAGGCTGAAAACCTTAGAGCCGGGGTCAGTAGCGTCTTCTTGCTTAGATGAGGCAGCCACTGAGTTTTTTGGAGACTGTGTGGACCAAGCGGAGTCACTGGCACCCCAAAACCAGATGCAGCGAGGAGACCGTGTAACCACGCGGCGCCTCCCCGGTGACTCACCAGGTGACAGGGCCCGGGACCAGGAAAGCGCTGGGACGAGCTCTGTCCAGAGGCAGGAGATCCAAGTCGGGGAGTCGGAAACGTCCCTGGAGAGTTTTTCCGAGCTGGAAAACAGTGAAGGGACCAGGACGGAATCCTGGGAGCTGAAGGTGCGCATCGGGGAGCTCCGGGAGCAGCTGGCGGTGCTGCGCGCAGATTGCGATCGCGCCTCCGAGAAGAAGCAGCACCTCCTCTGCCATGTCTCGGTGCTGAGAAAGAAGCTGAGGATGCTCGAGAGGCTCCCCGAGGCTCCGCCCAGGTACAAGGCGCTGTACGAGGACGCCAGCCGCGAGAACGACTGCCTGCGGGAGGAGCTGCGCGCCCTGGAGACGCGCTACGAGGAGGCTCTGGAGGGCAACCAGGCGCTCAGCGCCGAGCTGTTCCGGCTGCAGGAGGAGCTCGGCAGGGCGGGCGAGGTGACCGAGACGGGGCTGAGCCTGGACAGGAGCTACGACGAGGTGAGAGCAGAAAACGAGGAGCTGAACGTGCTGGTCGCGAGGCTGCAGGGGGAGATTGAGACGCTGCAGGAAAGAGCCGTCTGCGACTGCTTCTCCTGCTGGGACACCTGTGGGGACAACCTGGGAGCGGCCCCTGAGGAAGAGGCCCTGGCAGAGCGCGTGCCCAAGGTCACAGGCGTCTGCCAGGGTACGGAAGACTGTGAACCAGCCAGGCAGTTCCCTGAGCAGGAGACAGCACAGCTCTTGGGAAGAGTCAGAACACATGACCTTGGCCGAGGCCCCAGAGTCAACGCTCAGGTGCGTCCAGAACAGCCCAGAGCACAGGGTCCGGCCCCGCCGGAGGAAAACACCGCTCGCCTGAGCTTGCAAGAGGAGCGCTTGCGGCGCCAGGCCACCATAGCGGAGTTGGCCCTGGAGAAGAAGAAGCTGCAGGAGCTGACGAGAAGGTTGAGGGAGCGAGTGGCCACTCTGGTCAAGCAAAAAGACGGGCCTTGTGCGGGCGAGCAGGAGGAGGAGCAGGAGGAGCTGAAGGCCGTGATGCACGAGCTGCACGCGGCGTGCACTGAGATGCAGCACAAAGTTGAACTCCTGAGGTAACGTACGCAGCTGGGCGCCTCCCGGCGGCTGCAGGCGCTGCGCGCTGTCCCTAGAGAAACTAACCCGCTAGGCCTCCGGAAGACAGCAGCGCGGTAGATGTCCTCCCGCTTCCGTGTCCTACTAACGAGTAGAGCGACCTCGCCTAGGAGGCCTTCCCTTGCTCTGTGTGCCGAGTAACTGCCGTTACAAGTCCCCACAGCCCCCGGCAAGAGTTCGCTGCTTAACCCCGGGCGGCCCCCCCCCGTGTGTGTGTCTTTAACCCTGTTCTAGCCTCGGAATGGATAGGCGCTTTTGTCTGTCTTTGCTAAACGTTAAAACACGACGTATGAGCGCGGATGCCTCTGTGTGCATTAACCCACTTGGTCGACAAGAACTCTGTCCTTTTACTAATACAGGAAAAATGTCTTGTGGCTTGCAGCTTTGCACTTCCGTCACTCTGAGTACGCACTGAACATTGCTCTGAGAACATATCATTTGATCCAGGAGCTACCAGTTTGCAATAAATCTGCTTGAAAAGGCAAGACAGAAGTGGAACTAATTCAAAGCACTGCTCATTTGAACTTTATAAAATAGGGTGGCATGAGCCTTCCCACAAATTGGGTTTTTCCAAAAGAAAAAAAAAAAGCCTTAGAAAATATTACATCATGTCTAAAGTATCTTAATGACAGGAAACAAAGTCATTTATTCTGAATGGAGTTTTTCCTCCTCACCCCTCAGACCATTTTTAGCTCTGACGATCAGAATGGAGAGAGAGGAGGAAAGCCACAGAGTAAACCCGAGTGTGGCTGTGGGTACCTGAAAGTGACCACGGCAGAAGGTACGCCGAGTGATGTCCGTTCCGAGCAGAGAGGACTTGAGACTGAGCGAATGAAGGTCATTGCTCAACACCAAGTCCTTTGCTCAGTGGCTACCAGTGAGAAAAGCAGCAGCCAGAGTGGACGCTCAGTCTCGCTCTTACGTCCCACAGTGTGTCATAACTTGATTTCCAAGTGCTAAGAGACTACGAACTTCGGCTTCCCTTTCTAACTGGCATGGAATCCTGGTCTTACTGGAAGTCACTAGAAAATATTTTCCAAAGATGACAGATGACTGCCTTGTTAAAACATTTTTTTTAATCTCTCTACTTCAGATATGAATCTGAAAACCTTCAAGAGGAAAATTCTATTTTGAGAAACGAAATTACTACTTTAAGTGAAGAAGATAGCATTTCTAACCTGAAGTTAGGGAAATTAAATGCATCTCAGGAAGAAATGTGGTAAGGCATGGTCTATTTAAATTTCCTTAGGACATTTTTACAAGGACTAAAAATTATTTTACTTCAACTTTTAGAGCTTAACTCTTAAATTACATTTTTATTGTTTCTTTAGGCAAAAGCTAGAAACTGTGAAACAGGAAAAAGCTGCAATTCAGAAGATGGTTGAAAATTTAAAGAAGCAAGTAAGGAAATGCTTAATATTTCCCAGTATTTCTTCATTCTGAAATTTATTTGAAATGTAAAAATTTATAGCATGTGCTACTGGCAGAACATATACCTACATTCTTAGTTTGCAAATGGACACTCACTTAATTCCAACTCTAAAGTAGGTTCCTGTGTTTTGTGAGATGACATGTATATTATTTCTAGATGCTAAGTGTGTAACACAAGTTTTATAATCAATGAGGATAGGAGGTGACACCCCTAAAACCACACTCATAACATACCACCTCTGCCCTTTGTGTATTTTCAATTAATGTGCCTTCATTTCGGCACCATAACTGCAAGTCCAAAGCTCAGGACGGATTTTCATGCCAGTTACTCAGCACACCTTCTCTCAGAATCATGAGTCACGCGGGTCGCTGGGGTGGGCAACAGTCCGTCTCTAGCTGAGAAAGGGAAGGCCATTTAAGAGCTCATCCGAAACAATCAAAGCCTAAGGATTTGCTAAGAAAAGTGCATTCCCAGCACTTAAAATAGATCCGGAATATATTTTGCACTTTCGTGAAACCCAGCTGAAAAACAGGCAGTCAATATGAATGGCTGGCCAGCGCCGCGGCTCACTAGGCTAATCCTCTGCCTGCGCTGCAGGCATACCAGGTTCTAGTCCCAGTCAGGGCACCGGATTCTGTCCCGGTTGCCCCCTTCCAGGCCAGCTCTCTGCTGTGGCCCGGGAGTGCAGTGGAGGATGGCCCAAGTGCTTGGGCCCTGCACCCCATGGGAGACCAGGAGAAGCACCTGGCTCCTGCCTTCAGATCAGCACGGTGTGCCGGCCGCGGCGGCCATTGGGGGTGAACCAACAGTAAAGGAAGACCTTTCTCTCTGTCTCTCTCTCTCACTGTCCACTCTGCCTGTCCAAAAAAAAAAAATATATATATATATATATATGAATGGCTAAGTCACAGGAAAAAAAGAAAATAACATGTAAACAGGTGAGTAGTCTCATTAGTTATTAGGGAATGTAAATTAAATGAGTTTCCACCAACTGATAGAGCAAAAATCAAAGACTGCTACCATCTAGTATTAAAAAGTGGGTGAGGACATCAGTGTCCTCGTGCATTGTAGGTAAAATTGTAAGCGGTGCCACGGTGGGGAAGACATTGTTGGGAGATCTGTTAAAAGAGTAACATATGTGGGTACTTCAAAAAGTGTGTGAAATATTGATTACAGTCTGACAACAGCAAAGGTAGGGAATCAACCTAGCTTGTCCAACAGTTGAAGACTGGATGAAGAAAACATGGTATATATACATAAGGGAATATTACTCAGCCATAAATAGGGACAGAATCCTGACATTTGCAGCAAAATGGATGGAACTAGTGATCATTATACTACATGAAATAAGCCAGACACAGAAAAAAAAACTTGGCGTGTTTTCTCTCATGTGGAATTTAATATATCATATAAAAATGTGTGGATGCTATATTATTTGGTATATTTATAAATATTGTCTTCAATGAACTGTACTGCTTACATAATAATATACCCTTCCTTCCCCCACTTCATGATAATTTGCCGTGAATCTCATGTTATATGATGTTAATATTCCTGCTTTCAAGGACAATAGTATGTGTGTATGAGTATAATAATATTTACAGGGGAAGAAAATAGGGCAAAATGATAAAAATTGTTAAATCTCCATGTGCTCACTGAGCTCTGTGTACTTTTCTGTATTATTTGAAAATCAAAATTAAAAAGGCAAGAAAGATATTGCTCTCCCAACCAGCAGCATGATTTGTTTATGCAAATCATTAAAAATCCATAATGCCACTTTTTTTGAAAGCTATATATGACAGTAATAGATACCTAAATCCACTTGAAGTACTGTAGTTACAAAATTCAATCTCCCATTATTCTACATGGAAGAAATCTTATTGTTAGTTAATGAACATCTAAGTAAAATAACAAAATTTTCATAGAAAATGGAATTAAAAGAGAAGTTTATTTTGGTCACAAGGTTTTGAAACCCATGCATGTGAGAGGCCTTCAGAGAATCTGTGGCTGGGACGGGTGTTGAGGCTAATTGGGTAAGATGCCTGTGTCCCACAATGGAGTACCTGGGTCTGATTGCCGGCTCTGGCTCCTGACTCCAGCTTCCTGCTAATGAAGCCCCGGAGGGCAGTAATGGGTTCTTGGCATCCGTGAGGAAGACATGTGCTGAGTTCCTGCCTCCCTGCTTTGGCCTCTGCCCAACCCCAGCCACTGCTGGCATTTGGAGAGTGAACCATCAGATAGGAGCATTTTCTCTCTCGCTCTCCTTTCTCCCCTCCTTCACTCTCTTTCAGGCTATCAAATATATACATTTTTTTAAAAAAAATAAGTTCATGGAAAATGCTTATTATGAAAAAACTCTTCGAGTCTTTTGAAAAAATTTTTGTGGGGCTGGCATTGTGGCTTGGCAGCTTGAGCTGCTGCCTGTAATACAGGCATCCCATATGGACACTTGTTCCAATCCCAGCTTTTTTTTTTCCCCCAAAGATCAATTTATTTGAAAGAGTTAGAGAGAAGGAGAGACAGAGAAAGAGAGGGAGAGAGGTCTCTTCTATCCGCTAGTCTACTCCCCAAGTGGCCACAATGGCCAGGGCTGATCAAGATCAAAGCCACAAGCCAGGAGCTTCATCCCTGTGGCAGGGGCCTAAGCAGTTGGGCCATCGGCTGCTGCTTTCCCAGTATCCGTAGCAGGGACCTGGATAAAAAGTGGAGTAGCCAGGACACAAACCAGCACCCATATATATGGGATGCCAGCATCATAGGCTGTGCTGCAACACTGGCCCCAGCTGCTCCACTTCCAAGCCAGCTCCCTGCTAGCACGCCCTGGGTGTTGTGGCCATTTGGGGAGTGAACCAGAGAATGGAAGATCTCTCTCTCTCTCTCTCTCTCTCTCTAACTCTGCCTTTCCAATAAATACATAAATCTTTTTAAAATTTTTACACCAAAGTAAACTTATCCTTTGCTCCCATTTTCCATGAACTTTGCAAAGTTTCCATATGCATACATATATTTATCTTCTAACTCAGCAACCCTACTTCTAATAAATAGTAATCCTAAATAAAAAATGCTACCATATTTAAACAGATTTTCTGAAAGATCATTTTGTTTCCTTGCAATTAAAGGAAGTGATAAAACTGTAGCTCTGTCAGTGTTGGAATGGAGTGATGCATTGTGGGATGTCTCATTATGGAGACTATCTCGTAGTCACTAAAAAATACAGTGTGTGGCAGTTTTTGCATGCACTGACTTGGAAGATAAGTTTGAGATAGTGTAAGTGAAAAAGCAGGCTGTCAAAACATGAAATGATCCTTTTTTTTTTCTTTAAACTAAAAAGAAGTAAAGAATCTTTGTCTCTAGCGTTTGTGTCTGCATGGGGAGTGATGTGGAGGGAGTTGCTCCTAGCTATGCAGAATGGGTCCCTGTGGAGGGAGATTAGCCTGTATCTCACTTGTTCATTCACGTTTCAACTGATTAAATGGTAATAATGAGCACATTTTATTTCCTTTATTTATTTCTCTAATTTTAAAAGTTTATGAAGAGAGAGAACAATTACTCTCTAAATCTGTTTTTCAGCAGAAGTAGAGTAAAAAGTTTTTAAAACTTATCTGGATTTTAATTAGATTTCAGAGTTAAAAACCAAAAACCAACAGTTGGATTTGGAAAATACAGAACTTAGCCAAAAGAACTCTCAAAATCAGGACGAAATGCAAGAACTTAATCAACGTCTGGCAGAAATCCTATGCCAAAAGGAAAAGGAGCCAGCAGACGGTATATTCAAGGACTGGGAGCAAGAAAACTCTACTCTCAGAGAAGAACTGGAACGCTGTAAAGTGCAGGTATGGCATCAGCTCCCCTACAGATTTTTTTGGAGGAAATATCAAGAAATAGGAGAAATATTTGTGTTAAACTATGTGTTCACAAAGCCTTAGTAATCAAGACAGCATGGCAAATGAATAGACAAATTGGTAAGGGAAATAGAAAGTGTAGAATTCAACCCAAATACAAATGGAAACTTAGTATTTAGCAAAGGTGACTCCTCAAGTCGCTGGTGCCTGGGTAACTGGGCAGGCATTTGGAAATTAGATAAAATTAGGTTCATATTTCATGCCGTGTGCAAGGATAAACTCCAATTGGATTAGGAGTATAAATATAAAAAGTGAAACTAGACAAGTACTAGAAAAAAAACATGGCTGTATTTGTCTTTCACTCTGGTGAACAAAGGACTGTAATTATGACCCAAAAGGCAGAGGCAATAAAGGAAATAGATTATAAAAAAAAAATCTGACCTGGCAATAAACACCATAAAAAGTGTCACAGGACAGCTGACTGGGAGCGACTATTTACAACAAATGGAACTAGGGAAGGGCTGGTACAGAACTCTGCAAAATGGAGTCACAGGAGAAAATCTGCAGGCATAAAGGGGAGACACACATGAACAAGCAATTCATTAAAAAAGATCAAAATGGCCTTCAGGCCTGCGAAAGAATGTTGAAAAATCACTCATAATCAGAGAGATGCAAAGTAAAACCGTGCTAATAAATAATTTCTCACCTGTGAAGCCAGCAACGATTTAAAAATAGGATAGTCTATTTTATGGCAAAGCTGCGGGAAAACAGACACTTTGGTACCTGGCTGGCGGGGATGTCTGCTGATGCTGTCTTTGCCAAGGTATATTTGGCAGTGCCTAACATAATGACATAGCTCCCTACAAAGGCCCAGCAGTCGTACTTCTAGGAATATCCCTAAAGGCACATCTGCAACGATACGAAAATCCCTGTGCACAGGGCTCCTGATAGCAGTGTTGTTTGTAATTGCAAAATGTGCCCATAAAAGGAGCAGTGGAGTAAATGTAGCAGGTACATGTACACCATGAGGAGTTACTGTGCAGATATTAAGAAGGAGGAGAGATTTTGATTTATATAAACCAATTTCTAGGACATGGTGTTAAGTAAAACAAAGCGCAGGGGCACGTGTTGGACAGAGCGGTTGAGATGCCCACAATCCTGTAGCCTAATGCCTGGATTTAAGTCCTGACTCCATTCTGGATTCCAGCTTCCTGCTAAGGTGCATCCTGGGAGGCAGAAGGTCATGAGTCAAGTACTTGGGCCCCTTCCACGTATGCGGAAGACCCAGATTGAGTTTTGGGCCTCTGGCTTCAGCTGGTCCAGCCCTGGCTGTTGGAGACACTGGGGAGAGTGAACCAGCGGGTGGAAGACCTCTATCTTTCAAATGAACATTTTTAAAAATTATTTTTAAAACTCCATTGATAGATACTAAAATAAGTAAGCAGAATTTTGAGGAGAAACAGGATTTGCTTAATCTCAAAATAGCTACCCTAAGAGAAGGGTGGTAACAGTATAGTAGAAAACCGTATAAAAACTGAGAAATCATACTCGTGCCTTTTAAGTGGAAAGTCTTTTTTAAAATAGCTTTGATTGGCTCCACTGCATATGAGAACTGGTCATAAAACGTGTTGTTGATTTTGCACTGTTATTTCTGTCGTGTCGTCTGTTACGCGCGTAGTAAATCGCCCACAGCCTAAGTGACGATGTACTATTGGATTTTCTTGCCCTCTCAGTCCTCCACTTTGGTGTCTTCTCTGGAGGCCGAGCTTTCTGAAGTTAAACTGCAGACCCATATTATGGAGCAGGAGAATCTCCTTCTCAAAGAGGAACTGGAAAAAATGAAACAGGTGAGGTCACGTGCTGCCCCATGGCACGGTGGCTCTAGAACGATGTGGAACTGACGGTCTGGGGCTTCTAGCACCCAGGTGCCCTTGGCTTTGAGTCCTGTCCACTGGCTTGTTGCTGAGTAGAGTTGAGTGTGAGTCTATTTGTAAGGGCTGCGTGGACTCATCCTGCGTGTGCTGTGCTACTTAGGTGTGTCTGAGTTCTAACTAAAACTACTCCTAGACACGGATCCTGACCTTTATGATTGGAGAAACTTGCTCTGCTACTTTCTCCCAGCCAGGTGCTAAAGCACCCCATTTGTCTGAAGGAGTGTGACCTCCTGCCTCCCATGACCCACAGCCCTGTTCGCGGTGGTATGACACAGATGAGGCTGGGCTGCCTTCTCCTCGTAGCAAGTATGGACTTGATCTTGGGCAAAGGACTAAATTCTAGAGCGTTGCCAGGGAGGCAGCCTCTCCTATGGACTAGGCTTTCCAAAGCCTGTTTCAAACAGAAGCTTAATTTTAAGTTCAGAGAGGATGTACCTTAAAAATTAGGTCCTAAGCATTGTCGTATTTTATTCTTCATTGATTCAATATAGGCAAGGATCTTTCAATTGGAACAGTCCTAACTTGTGGAGAATTCAGTTCTGTTGTATTGATGCATTTAGATTAGATTGGATTAATATGATGATACCCTTGGATTTAAAATCCTCCTCCTTGTGTCTGTTCAACCTATAAGCACAGAGGTCTCCTTCCCTGAACACATGCACACTGAATCTGCACCGGATCTGCAGCACCTGCTGTCCTGTTTGTGTCCTTCTCTAATGAACACTGGGAAGTCTGTCTCTCCTACTGGGATTCTCAGACTCACGGCTGTTTTGTTTCATAATACCCGCTGTTACCCAGCTTCCTACCTAGCGCCCTGTGAGAACCTTTGCAAGTCAAATACTTCAAGTTTACATGTTGTGCCATCAGTGGAGAAGCTGTCAGTTCTGTATAAACTTGTCCGAAGTTACAACCCCCAGAGCCTTTCTCTGCTGTCTTAACAAGATTCCCAGGATCTTGTTAGCAAATTCATCCCAAGTAACCCAGGCATCTGGGTTTTTTTTTTCCCCCTTTACCTTTTGAAAGTCTGTCTGCAGTTCAGGCTCTAAGATAGTAACAAAGTGTCCCAAATCTGTAGCCTGGGAAACGTGTACTAAGCTAGGAGACAGAAGGAAAGGAGCAGAGTTGGGAGGAAGAACACCAGGAGGAGGGCCTCGTGCAGCACTCTGGGATGGCGCATTTTTACAGTGGCATTGGCGCAAGGAGTGGGATGGAAAACCAGTGAGCCCCTCAGCCCTGGGGAGGGGGCTGTTACATCAGCAGCAGAAAGCTCTGGAGCAGTTGAGTCACCTGTCACTGCTGTCCCACAGCCTAGACCACCCAGACAGCCTGTGCCACTCTGTGATGCCAGGACTTGTAGCTCCCAAAGGATGTTTGTGTGCATTTGTGTTGCACCAAAGAGAAACGCGGATCACAGCAGCAGAAGCCACACGCCAGCGTGGAGACACCCACAGTGCTGCCTGGCTTTCATGGGAGTCTGGGGGCTGAGCAGCCAGGTTGTGGGTAAGGGAGAAGGCTCTCTCTTAGTCCTGCGCATTTCCCTGAGCCCTCGGGCTTGCTCAGAGCTGGAAGCTATGCTGTGTTTTCTGCCAGTGGAAACGCTCAGAGTCTATTTTGTTATGTCATTCCTAAAGCTCAGTGTAAAAGAATTTCAGGTAGTAAATAGAAAAGTGGCCATAAAATCATAATAAAGATGGAACGTGTGAAAATCAAGTGAGACGGAGGCGAGGTAGTACCGGGTAACTGTGGGGAAGGGTTAGGGGGCGAGGAAGCAAGCCGTGCCTCTCCACAAGGTGGGAGTGACAGAGGCTCGCCCACCCCGCACACTTCGCGGTCCCTGGGGACATTTTTGGCTTTTACACCTTGGGGGCTGACGTCACTGGCATCTGGTGGGTCAAGTGAGAGACGCTGTGAAACATCCTACCGTGTACAGGGCGGCCCCCACGGCCAAGAACGACCCAGCAGCGGTGCTGGGAAGGGACATGTCAGCCTTGATGTCAGCAAATGGAGACGGGGGGCCGCCGTGTCCACACCAGCAGTGCACTGCTACCAGGGCCACTCGGCATCTTCCACGAGGAAGGGCGCCTGGAACGAGCAGAAAATCCGATGGCTTTATCTCCAAACTGGCCGCTGTGCGCATGCCCTCTAAGGGCGCATGCCAATTTTACAGGCTTGAGGATTATCAAGAAAATATTTTTGTACTTAAAACCTGAGGAACCTGTCATACACTGCATGTGTGCAGCTTAAGTGGATGACGGCGTGGCAGTATGTGATTTTACCCTGAAGGTGCGATGGAAAGCTGGGATCATTATTTCGCAGCGTCCCGCTGGGTGAGTCCAAGCACACAGTTCGGCAGACAGCCGAGGAGTGCAGGGAAGCCTAAGGGAACCTTTTATCAAAGCGGATTCTAGTTTGCACCTCGTCTGAAGTGTCGACAGAGAGAGATGCTGAGCCAAGCAACGCAGCCGTGAGAGGTGATGGGAGGGCGTGTGTTTGTCTCTTGCAGCTGCCCAGATGCCCCGATCTCTCGGACTTCCAGCAGAGACTTTCTAGTGTGCTAAGCTACAACGAGCAACTACTGGAAGAGAAAGCAGCTCTGAGTGAAGAGTTAAATAGCTGTGCAGAAAAGGTAGTGGGGGCAACGAGACGGCGCCTCCCTCTTGGCACTAGCACATCGCGAGCGTCTGTCATAGACGAGGGCCCGAGGGCGTCCCGTGTTGGCCTGCTTATTCCAGAAGCCCCTGCAGCAGCATTCGGCTGGCCTGTGTGACCCTGGATCTCCACCCATGATTGTGACTGGAGTCCACAGTCATTGTTTAGTAATTTTATTAAATATCCACTTGGCCCCATCCTAATATATCATGCTACTTAATACTGACCTATGTTGCTGTTCTTATATAGGAATATATTGGTTCTATTCTGGAATTTCATAGATTCTTGTTTTCTGTTGTATTTTCCCTAGCAGATCCCCAAACACTGCCCCCCCCCCCCCACCTTCCTGGGCATTCTGTGTTTGCCTGTTGCGCTGCACTCCTGAGATCTCTCACTGCCTGCCAGGCCACCATCTCCCAGCCTCCAAATACCAGCAGTGAGAAGTGAAAAGTCACAAAAAGATGCTAAGCCCCTGCCACAGTTCGAGCCGGAAGAGGGAATCAGGAAAACGCTTGTGCCTTTGCCGTGCTCCAGTCCCGCGTGTGCACTGCAGCAGGAGTGCAGCCTCCACGGGGAGCCGGGTCTCTGCAGGTTCACCCTGCTAACTCCTTTGTTTTGCTGAAACAGTTGGCCAAATCCAGGCTGTTGGAGCACAGAATCGCTGCAATGAAGCAGGAACAGAAGTCGTGGGAGCACCAGAATGAGAGCTTAACGTCCCAGCTGGTGGCTTCCCAGGAAAAGGTATGGGGACCGCTCTTGTTCCATCATCACAGTTAGAATTTCCCTTCTTTTTCTAACAAATCCCACTGAAAAGAATGTTCCAGGTGAGAGGGACCCGAGAGGGTTCAGCGTGATTCATGTAACCTAATGAGACACATTTACAGTGTGATAATGTAAGCACTGCTTCCCTCAAAGCTCATTAATTCTGATTATTACTTAGGAAGGCTTGAGAATGCTGTGAAAAATAACTGCTTGCTCCTACTTTACAAAGAGGATTTATGTGGTAGGCGCTGTGGTGTAGCGGGTAAAGCCACCGCCTGCAGTGCTGTCATCCCATATGGGTGCCAGTTCAAGTCCCAGCTGCTCCGCTTCTGATCCAGCTCTCTGCTATGGCCTGGGAAAGCAATGGAAGATGGCCCAAGACCCTGGGCCTCTGCATCCATGGGGGAGACTGGGAAGAAGCTCCAGGCTCCTGGCTTTGGATCAGCACAGCTCCAGCCATTGCAGCCATTTGTGGAGTGAACCAGCAGATGGAAGATCTCTTCTTTCTACCTCTGTAACTCTGCCTTTCAAATAAAGAAATCTTTTTTAAAAATGGGATTTCTAAAGTAGGTTCACACCCTACTGTAATTAAAATCTCTATCAATATTCCTGTTATAAATTTATGTTTTTAAGATTTATTTATTTGAAAGGCAGAGATACAGAGATAAAAGGAGAGAGTGAGGTTTTCCATACACTGGTTCACTCCCCAAATGGCTGCAATGGCTGCGAATGGGCTGATCAGAAGTCAGGAGCCAGGAGCTTCTTCTGGGTCTCCCATGTAGGTGGCAGAGGCCCAAGGATTTATGCCATCCTCTACTGCTTTCCCAGGCACATTAGCAGGGAGCTGGGTTGGAAGTGGAGCAGCTGGGTCTTTTTTTTTTTTTTTTTTTTTGACAGGCAGAGTGGACAGAGAGAAAGGTCTTCTTTTTGCCGTTGGTTCACCCTCCAATGGCCGCCACGGCCAGCACACCGCGCTGATCCGATGGCAGGAGCCAGGTACTTATCCTGGTCTCCCATGGGGTGCAGGGCCCAAGTACTTGGGCCATCCTCCACTGCACTCCCTGGCCACAGCAGAGAGCTGGCCTGGAAGAGGGGCAACCAGGACAGAATCCAGCGCCCCGACCGGGACTAGAACCCGGTGTGACGGCGCCGCAAGGCAGAGGATTAGCCTACTGAGCCGCAGCACCGGCTTAGCAGCTGGGTCTTAACTGGCACCCAGATGGGATGCAGACACTGTAGGTGGAGGCTTAACCTTCTATGTCACAGCGCCAGCCCCCAATTTTAGTGTTTTTAATTGAAATTTACATGAGAGATTAGCATAGAGTAGAATTCTACTCTATGCAATCATGTATCATTTCATACCAGAAATGCATTCTGGGAAATACATCATTAGGCAGGTTTGTCATTGTGCAAACATGACACACACACCCCAACACGGTTGTGACATCACCAGGCTACGTCATTGTTAGGACCTGTATCATCTATGTGGTCCATTGTTGACTGAAACGTCGTTGTGCAGCACATAGCAGCGATGTTATTTTCAACCAAGAGGTCCTTCACAAACCAACATCACAGGCTGTGATACAATTTCTACAAAATTCAGGGAAATCCTCTTTTATAATGCCATGTGGCACACAGTGATTCTCACACATCATTTGGTAATCTCCCAGGCGATTGAGCACGTGACCGGGCACACGTCATCATTGTCCTAAATATAACTTCACGTTCCATCGATATATGTATAATATCCTGAGTTTCCACTGAGCTCCTGGACACACAGCTGGGGATAGCAAACAGGGGGGCGCTTGCTCATTCGTCCCTAGATGTTCTAGCGCTGAGCCCCCAAGGCCGTGTGCAGCAGTGTGTGGTTGTTCTCGCGATGCAGGTGCAGAATCTAGAAGATACCCTGCAGAGTGTAAACCTGCACATGTCGCGGGTGAAATCTGACCTCCGAGTGACACAGCAGGAAAAGGAGGCGCTAAAACAAGAAGTGATGTCTTTACGAAAGCAGCTGCAGAATGCTGGTGACAAGGTAATGGCTGTTTCCACTGAGGGAGAAGGGATTTTTCTACACATGTATGTGTAAGTATGTATGAGACTCGTGGTTTACACATTGTCGTGTGTACATTTGTGTATCTAACACCTGGATCAAAAAATGCAACACTGCCTCAGCCCCTCCAGTTGACAACCCCAAGCGACCTCCCCACACACACTGCCACCATAGGTTAGGGACGCGTGTGTCTAAACTTCGTATAAATGGAACTCCAGTGATACCAAAAGGTCATTTTTTATATCAAGCAAACCGGAAGAGTGTGGCTGGGCTGTTCAGTATTCATAATGTTAAAACATTGCCTTAGTTAAATGATAGAGGAGAAAACCATTGCAAGAAATTCATCTAGGAACACACACACACACACAACACACACACACATATACACACATACACACACCCCCAACACAGGCTGCACAAAAGTAAGGCTTCTGCTGAAAAGGAAAACTGTGGCCTAAAACACCAGTACTGAATTTCCCATTACAGAACGGGTTGTTAAGACATCGCAAAGCCCAGGGAGAGCTGGCTCAAGTGTTAACCGGTGGGCGCCTTATGCTGGTGTTACAGAAGGAGTGTCTCATCTTAACCTTTCACAAAGCTTTTTCGTTTATGTACGATTAAGAACATTGCTACAGATATCCTTGGGGTAGATGCTAGGATTTTTGCCCTATAATAAAAAGTAGGTACTAATACAGTTATTTCACAGTGATACCTTTAAAAAAAAAAAAAAGTTTCCATTTTAAAAATTACTTTTGGGTTGACATTTTTCTCACCAGGATATTGTGCCTGTTCTTTTTTTCCCCCATGTTTGACTTGAAAGGAGGCTTATCCTGTCATGTTACTTTTATTTCTTAGATTATTTTTAAGATCCAAAAAAAAACCACTTTGGTAGCTTAAAGTGTATTCCTGAATTCAGGCCTCAATTACATGCACAATATGTGCTTTAGATTCTAAAAGAGGCTCCGACTGCAGATGTGGAAGCCTTCCAAGTTGGCAACGCTTTGAATTCCTTTGTTTCCTAAAGATGACTTCTTCAGAACAAAGCCGCTTGGGAGCCTCCACCCTCTATGTACCTGGGTCCCATGGAACCAGGACTTGCCCTACAGCCATACTTGCCTTTGGACTTGACCGGACCCTTCCACCCAAGGCCAAAGAATTCCAAACTTTCTACAACTCAAGCTTCCAGAATATTGTTTTGTTTATAGCTATACTTGCATACACCTACTCCCATGAGCAGACTGAAAGGTACTGATTAAGAATTGTTGTCATTACATTAAGTGAGATGCATGTTTCAAAACACAAGTTCCCCCGTCCACCTGTTTCTAAGGATTAACTCTGCAATTCTGTCTTAAGCACCGGGCCCCAGATGGAGCCACCCGTCCATCAGGATTCCAGAACCAGCAGCAAAGGCTGTCTTGGGACAAGTTAGATCATCTGGTGAACCCGGAACAGCAGCTGCTTTGGCAACAGAACGAGAGGCTCGAGACCACGGTGCAGAAGACCAAATCCGAGCTCACACACTCCCGGGAGAAGGTATGTTGAAAAGTGGCACACGTGGTGCATGGTTGAAACTGACGCGTTGGAGATGAAAATGGATGTCTGATGGGATTGACGTGGCTCAGGGCTGTGCCTTTTGGTATCCTGCTATGGCAGACTTACTTTCAGAATGCATAGTTGATCATTTACGTACATGTGATTTTATCCTGATGTGTTTATAAAATATTTTTCCTTTTGTATAAGCTGTGTATATTAAAATGTAACTGTGATTTTAATCCTCATATCCAAAATGTAGACTTATGGAAATTTTGTGAACCATATATTCCTCAAATAGGCTAGCCGCCAAGACAAGTAGTATAAAGCTGGCAATGCGGTGCTCATATCTTGTGGGTCTTAATATCTGCTTATAAGAGAAAAAGGTGTCCCCCTTTTTTGTCAATTTTTTACTGAACTGCTTTTACCAGGATTTATGTATTTATTTATAGATTGAGAGGGAGCTTTCACTTGCTGGTTCATTCCTCAAATGACCATTACAGTTAGACCTGGGTCAGGCAGGAGCCAGGAGCTCTGTCCTGGTCTCCCACATGGGTGGCAGGGGCCACAGCACTCGGGCCATCTTCTGCTGCCTTCCCGGACACATTAGCAGGAAGCTGGATCAGAAGCAAGGTAGCCAGTCTGCCATGGGACACCTGTGTCCCAAGTGGTGGGTTCACTGCTGCACTACAATGCTGGCCTCTTTTGTAAAATTTTTTTTCAGAGGCAGAGAGAGAGACAAGAGTGCCTTTCTCATGCTTCACAACCCAAATGCCTTCTCCAAAGCTGGGAGCTTAGGAACTCAATCCGGGAGCCTGATGACTTGTTTAGTTACCTTTGATTGCCAAGGTTTGCATTAACAGGAAGCTGGGGCCAGATAGCCAGCTCAGGGATTCCCGTGTGGGCGGCAGGCATCCTAACTCCTAGGCTAAACCCCCACTCCAGATGCCCATTTTAATGTCAAGATTTGAATGATCTTTTTGTTTTTAAAGAATTATTTATTTATTTGAAAGAGTTAGAGAGCCAGAGGGAGAGGTCTTCCATCTGCTGGTTCACTCCCTAAATGACCACAACAGACAGAGCTGAGCTGATCCAAAACCAGGAGCCAGGAGCTTCTTCAGGGTCTCCCATGTGGGTGCAGGGGCCCAAGGACTTGGGCTGTCTTCTACTGCTTTCCCAGGCCATAGCAGAGAGCTGGGATGGAAGAAGAGCAGCCGGGATGCAATCCGGTGCTGCAGACTGGGGTTTTAACCTGGTGGGCCACAGCGCTGGCCCTTTGATGTCATCTTTTCCAACTACCAGCTGATGGACTGATGAATTCTTAACCTCTGCTACCAAGTTACCCAGTTAGATAATTAACCCATGTTCTAACACCTCCGGGAAGAGCTTTCTCAAGCTTGTCCTCTAGAACACCTCCTCATGCCAGAAACTCTGCTGCTGTAGAAGCTGCGTGGCCCCTGTCCTCATGGAACCCGGTCCTCATGAGGGCTGTTTTAGCTCTGCACTGTCCAGTGACTCCCAAGAGTCACGCTCAGTTATAGTGCGTGGGCCTTCTGCGTCCGTCTCACGGGCAGCCACACCACACACGCTCTTGACTCCTGGAGACTCGGCGATGGCTTTGTAGACCCAACTGGATTGATCTAGAAAGGACCTTTGTCAATTCCCAAAAGTAGGCTTGCAGAATGGGCAGGCTGGGCTGGCAAAGTCTTGCTCACACCCAGGACCCGAGTGCTGCTGGAGCCTTCCCTGCGCCTGCTGGCTGTTCTTCCTGGCTGGCTGACTGCGCGTGCTGTTCCTCTCACTGCTGCTCTTCTTAGGTCCATCAAGGTGAATCCAAGCTTCTTCCCCCGAAGCACCAGAAACATCTGAACCTGTCAGGTCCTGTGCGACTCACAGAGCAAGAAAAGTTGAGCTTAAAGCGAGAGAGTGAGCAGTGCCACACGGAACGGTGCCCTCCCACCAGGAAGGTGAGTTTCTGCGCATGTGCCATAGGTGTGTGTGTGTGTGTGTCTATGTGTGTGTGTCTGAGTGTATATATGTATGTGTGTCTGTGTGTGTGTATATGTGTGTGTGTGTACTGTACTTCTAAGTTGCAGTTTCTTCCCATTTCTAAGGAAATGGTCACAAGGGCATATTTTGGTTCATCCGAGTATCTCTTTATAGTTTCTCTCTTCGTGTCTCAGCAGTATCATAGTTTTGATTAATGATTGAAAAAGGTATAATTTAAGATTTTATAAAATACAACAGTGAATCATCTTTGTATTGCATGCTTTTATAAGTTAGCAAAAAAAAAAAAATGAGGGTGCTTCTTAAAGTTGGTGGAAATTTCAATTTAAAATTTATTTTGGGGGCTAGCACTGTGGCACAGTAGGTTGGTCCACCACCCGCAGTGCCAGCATCCCATATGGGCAGCCAGTTCGAGTCCCAGCTGCTCCTGGCTTTGGATCAACCCAGTTCCGGCCATTGCAGCCATCTGGGGAGTGAACCAGCGGATGGAAGACCTCTCTCTCTCTGCCTCTCTGTAACTCTGCCTTCAAATAAATACATAAATCTTAAAAAATTGACTCAAATTTTTGAAATTCCATTTTCCCACAAATTTTTAAAGAGCCCTCTTAGAGAGCTTGACTGTTAGAACCATCTGAAGGCAGTCTGTGTTACATGTTGCTGTGCAACGAATGCCAACAGATCTTTACTGTCTCACGTGGCGAAGAGGTGGGAGCTGAGCAGCTTGGCTGAGCAGACGCAGCCCGAGCTGCCGTGAGGTTGCCGTGCGGAGGTCACCAGGGCCGCAGTCACCTGAGGGCTTCCAGGCGGCTGGAGCTCTGCTCTCCAGGCTCTCTCCCCTGACTGTTAGCCGGAGGCTTCTGTTTCTTATGGGCTGATTGCCTAAGACCTCAGTTGCATCACCACCTGGGCCCTCTGGTGGGCGAGGGCTCCTGCTTCCCCCAAAGGCAGTGATGCCAGGCAGACAGTGAAACCCAAAGACCAAGATGGGTACCATAGTATCTTTTTAAAAATGTCTATTTTGTTTAATTTCATCTACTTCAAAGTCAGAATAAAAGAGTGCTTCCATCTACTGATTCACTCCTCGAATGCCTACAACAGTCAGGGCTGGGCCAGGACAAAGCCGGGAGCCAGGAATTCCACCTGGGTCTCCCATGCTGGGGAGCAGGGGCCCAAGCATTCGAGCTGTCAGCTGCCATCTCCTACAATGTGCATGATCAGGAAGTTGGATCAGAATAAAATGCGAACCAGCACTTCCATATGGAATGTGGGCATCCCAAGTAGTGGTTTAACCCACTGTGCCACCAGGCCAACCCCCATCGTGCTTTTCATAACCTAATCATGGAGGTGACATACTATCATTTCTGCTTTATTCTCTTCACAACACTTCCCCTCTGTAGTGTGGGAGGAGACAATGCACAGGTACAAACACCACCAGGAGGTGGGGCTCCTGGGGGCCACCTGGTCAGACCTCCGTAGCACTACCTAGCATGATTTCTTGTACTTGGTCCCATGAAGTTAGATCCCTGGACCAGTGTTATTCTGGGAGTTACTGTTGTTCCTTTTCTTCTTTAAACTGAAACTCATGAGTTTTCTCTATTACCTTCTTTGTTCTTTTAAAAATATGTTTACCAATCTGGGAAGAATGAACAAGTTGAGCTTGCCCAATTCAAAAATATGGAAGTGCTTCTCGAATGCCGAGATGACACCACAAGTGGAAAATTCCACACCTGACCTCACAGGAGGGGGAGTTACAGTCAAAGTGCAGGCACACTCTGGTGGTCAGCTTTTTATCACTTATAATACCTGAGAGGAGCAGCCGAGGGAGGAAGGGGATTTGGTTTGCTTTGCTGTTTGCAGATTCATAATCCAAAGTCAGGGGGCCCAGTGGTTCAGGCATGTGGGGAGACAAGAGGATGGCAGAGGGATGGTCACATGGCCAGCAAGAGCAGACAGAGACATGCCACACTCTTCATCCACCCTCCAGTGTGGTCTCTCCTCCTGAAGCCATCAAGATTCCATCACGGGACTCTGCCCTAGCGACTGAATCCTATCCTGTCACTTCCCCCGGGGCCCTGCCTTCAGACACAGTAATGGGGTCACATCGCCAAGCTAATCATCAACCATTAACATCAGTCCTTTGACTGTTACTATAAAACTTCCGGTAGTCAAGTCCTGTTCAAACCATAACATGTACTAAAAATAAGATTACTATTATATATACATACACACACACACACACACACACACACATGAATTCTGTCTTTAGGCTGGGGTGTCCATTCTTGAGATATCTCATTATGTATATGTAAATGTTACCCAATCCAAAAACATCTGGAATCTGAAATACTTGTAGTCCCAAGCCTTTTGGAAAAAGAAGACTCAAGCGGTATTTCTCTCACAAAATACTCAAGAAAAACTTTTCAGTTTGTAAAAACTGTGATCATTTGCTGCACTAAGCCTGGTTTGGCTGTGCAATTGAAATGCCATTTATTTTCAGATGCATTCAAGAAAACTTTTCAGAAAGCGATGAGTTTCTTTGGCTGATCATGAAGGGAAAAGGCTGGTGCTAGATTTTAAAATAACCTTGGCCCTGGAAAGATGACATTTCAGTTCAACAATTCTCCCTGCTCTTCTCAGCTCTTTTTGATTAAAAAGAAAAATTCAGCGTTGTAGAGTAGCATCGTCTGTTTTCTACTTGACAAAATTTGGAAGCTCCAGGTCCTCCGGCTCAGCAAATTCCGAAGTTGGATAATCCTAAAATCTTCCAGTCTCATCCTGAAAGCAGAGAAAGAGTTATGTGAATGAGGTTGTGTGTACTTTGTTTTAAACCTTTAACCTGGCCTCCTGACAGTGTGGTCCCAACTGAAGATCCTGAAATCAATTTAGTGGAAACCACTAGAGGACAACGGAGAACATGGCTTAGACAAGGATATGTTATTTCACGAAAGTTAAAGGTCATGGAAAATGTCATTACAAGATACTTGAATGCAAATGGTGTTTTAAAAATCGATGCTTGGTTTTTTCATAATACTCATTTTTCATGAACTCTTGATTTTTTTTTAATGTGGGTGTGTGTTGTGTACTATAGATAAGATTTTTTTTATAGTCTGTGACATCAAAGTTTCAACACCAGCTGCCTTAAGGAATCTGTCTTATGTCAGAAGGGGTGATTAAAATGAGATTACTTAAATGGAAGCCAGGCATTGAATCGCATTGTTTGTTGTTTTCCGTTGCTGAATTACCCTGGCTTTCCTCCATGAGTTGAGATTTATGACCAGGACAAATTGGTCAAAATTAAGGAGAGCAACTTGGGTGTTTAAGCAGATTTTTTGTGTTTTCTCACAGGTCAGTCAGATGAATTCCCTTGAACAAGAATTAGAAACGATTCACTTGGAAAATGAAGGCCTGAAAAAGAAACAAGTGAAACTGGATGAGCAGCTGATGGAGGTACATTTTTTTAAGCAAATGGCCTGAAACTATGAAGAATATTTTAATCCATGAATGAGCCATTTATTGGGAGACTAAACATGGAATTGAATTCCTGTTGTGAAAATCTAAGTGCTGTGCCCAGTGGAGTTCTTTGGACCACATTTAATAGGCATTTTTGCTTAATTACACAGTCAAAGGAACCCATATTGCTTTGCACAGGGAGGAGTAATACTGACCTAAAATGCAGAGACCTGTACCTCAGCCAGTTCAGGGAGTGGGGACTCTGATCCTGACCTAGAGGCCCAAAGCTCTGAGGCCATCACTTTGTTTTTATCAGTTTCCTGACCTCTCTTATGATTGTTCTCTAATAACAGAAGATCTGTGCAGGGAATTTGAAAGCAGTTACATTTAGAAGTCATATTTTCAAGTGCTGCCATTTTTCATTAGTACATTTGTACTCACCACTCCCTTGACAGATGCACATTTGATAAATTTGAAAATGATTTGTAAAACTTGTCAGCCCGAACACTGCTTGGGTTCCAGTCTACTTGATGACTTCCTGAATCCTCAGTACAATTAAGAGGAAATATAACAGCTTACGTACAAATTCTCTTTATTCTGTAAAAATTTAACTGACATGCTTTGCTTTGGGTAAATGAAAATGTCAGTTAACCTAACACTTGATGAATTAATGCAATCTACCTAGGGAAGAATGCATAAAAATTGTCTTATTGCTCTTCAAAAGTTCAACGTGTTTGCATGTTTTTAAAGCTGGAATTCTCTGAAGGCAGATATTTAAATATTTTCTCTTATGAAGCTGAACAATTGCAAAGGAAACTTGAAAAATTAGTGTTTGCTTTTTAAATGTGAAATATGGTTAACCATACTGCATCAATATTTAAATAACCACTAAGATTTCTGTCGATTTGATGTTCTCTGATTGACCCACAGTGGAGGATTGGTGAAACTATAAATAGCTAATTCCAAACCATTTTTTTTTCCTGACAACATAATGAATGTATTCAAAGCCTTGAACAGTGGGCTGAGCTTGTATGTAGATGTTGTTTTTTCTGGATGTAATGATTGTATCCTCTAACAAGTGAGATATACGAGGCTCAGCCCATCACATTTAATGATAAAGCGCAGAGTAACAGGGCAACACAACCGCTCTGCACCCCAATTTTTCTCCATCTGCGCCTCCCGTGCATGGAAGCTGCCTCTCCTAGCCCCATTGATAGGATTGGCCACCATTTGCCCCTGATTGGGTGATAAATATTTGCTAATAAGTGGGAAAATTTGTGTTCTTGGCACTGGAGCTGAATAAGGAAAACACATGAATTTTCCATTTGACCACTGAAAAGAACATCTCATGCTATTCTAGTCCAACTCCCATGAGGAAAAAAGACTGACCTGTTAACCTGACAGATGTCTGACAGACTGGAATGTTAAGTTGCATTGAGGTAATTCACGTACTATATAGTTTACCCGTAAGAAATATATACCATTTAATGGTTTTTAATATGTTACATTATGTGGTAAAATATAGTCAATATATACATTAAAGTTTGCCACTTTACCCACTTTCACATATGCAATTCCATGGCATTAATGACATTCACAATGGTATGCAACCATTATCACGACTGCTGAAACCTTTTTATCACTCCAGATAGAAACTCCATTAGGCCTTAGTCATTCCCCACCAGCACTACCAATTGAGTTTGTATTCATATTGTGATAGCATAGCATATGCCACTTTTGGACACGACAGTGGTTTTTCAGTCTTTTCTGCCTCAACTCACCTGAAGAATGGGTGTATTTCTGGTAGAATTCTCACCTGTTTGGGGTAAGAGGTGGTGGGCAAGCAGGAAGATGTTCCTCCCTTAGAATCCTTGGGGCCAGGCTGGTTGAGCAGCACTTTCTCTGTGATTCTCATCTGATGTATGTGGAAGGAATCTTTCCCTGTCTCCACTGAGACAGTGCAACACCTGTCCTACCCGGGTGTGGGGAGCGCAGTCAGTAGACCAGGACATGGAAGGAGGACGCTGGGATTCGACTCCCACACGAGGGCTTTTTCAGCTATGCAAAGCAGTGTTTAGTCAACAATTCATTTTGAACATAAAAAAGAAGGGATACAGGGAGCGGGTGTTCAGCCTAGAGTTTAAGGTGCTGCCTCCCAGGCTCTAGCTCTTGCCTTCAGCTCCTCAGCAGTGCACACCCTGGGAGGCAACAAGTAATGGCTTAATGAGTTGGGTCCTTTCCACCATTGTAGGAGACCTGGGTTGAACTCTGACTCCTTCATGGGAATTTGAAAAGTGAACCAGCAGATAGGAGTTTGCTATCTGTCACACTCTCTCTCCAAAGAGGGACGAGGGGGGAATTTTATTTTTTTTATTTTTATTTTTATTTTTTTTTTAAATTTTTTGACAGGCAGAGTGGACAGTGAGAGAGAGAGACAGAGAGAAAGGTCTTCCTTTGCCATTGGTTCACCCTCCAATGGCCGCCGCGGCCGGCGCGCTGCGGCCGGCGCACCGCGCTGATCCGATGGCAGGAGCCAGGAGCCAGTGCTTTTCCTGGTCTCCCATGGGGTGCAGGGCCCAAGCACCTGGGCCATCCTCCACTGCACTCCCTGGCCACAGCAGAGAGCTGGCCTGGAAGAGGGGCAACCGGGACAGAATCCGGCGCCCCAACCGGAACTAGAACCTGGTGTGCCGGTGCCGCTAGGCGGAGGATTAGCCTAGTGAGCCGCGGCGCCGGCCCGAGGGGGGAATTTATAGTCTAGATCAGTGGCCAAGTCCACAGTTGAGACACCTGAACAACAAACATTTTACACTTCCTATTCTGCATCTCCAAGGGGCAAGGGATGTAACAAGAGATCAATTCCATACTGGTCCTGGACTCTCGTGAGTAATTATAGTGGGCACTGGTAAAGGCAAGTAGGCTCACAATCCCCTTAAATTACAGTAGGTGAAGATACATAGAGATAGGTCAGTGTTGGTCCTCCGTAGGCTCTTATGCATGTTAATAATAAACTGGTACTGTTTTTTCTCTTTTTGTAACACAACTTTGCCTCCTCTTTTTCTAACTCGTGTAATTTTCTCTTGTTTTTGTCTGTGGCTAACCTGTACCTAGAACTCAGTGGTTGGAGGTAGCAGAGAAGGGTGCAGTTCTCTGCCCGAGATAGTGTGTGAAGGTAGAACATTCTCTTTCCCCGAGTTTCACAGCATGGGGACATCTCATTCCACTCCTTGTCCATGTAATCATTTCTGTTGTCCACCAGTTCTTTAAGAGCCAGTATTCATTTTCATTGTGCTTTAGTTGTGGAATATTTACCTGTGTATCAAGGTTTTCCTCATTATTTATAGCTGAGGAAAATAATCCCACTGCTATAAAATCCTGGGGTTATAATTCTCCACATTCTTTAATGAGGAAAATGAAAGGGTAGCTTTTCTGAATCATCTCCAACTTAGAAATATTTCAAAATGGGGCACGGCTCAGCTCAGAAGTTGACCTGTTTGGAAACGGATAGTGGCTCTGAAGTCTCACAGTCATGTTTCATTGTAACTGCACCCTAGAGGTCCCCTCCCCCTTTCTCACATGCCTGGGGGTGCTTCTTGTTGAGTGCATACTTGGTCTTGTCTGCTGCATGCCTTCTGTTTGAGCCCCGTGTCTGTCAGCTGTGCTGACAAATGGGAGACAGCAGGCTTCCCTGGCCAGAAAGCCCTGGGTGAGCCGCCTCGGGCTCTCCCCCACCGACTGGCACGTTGATACACATACCACTTCCTCACTGCCTCCAACAAGGACTTCTCCTCCAACAAGGACTTCACCTACTGCAGTTCTCAGAGGGCAGGGTATTAGCTCGTGCCCAGGAATCGCCTGTCTTACTGTGCTATTTATTCGAGGGTATGACCACATGCTGAAAAATGAAGAGACATAAAGATCTTTTTTAACACGAGATTCTTTAAAATAATAATAATAATAAGCTATCTTTGGGTTGGAAAAGAGATAGTCACTAACATTTGCCTGTAAGAAGCATACCGAATGGTAAGTTACTGAAGTACCTCCTTCTCCCGACTCCCTCTTGATTCAGCATTGGCAGTGTAATTTCCATGTTGTAAGAAAAAAAGGAGACAGAAGTCAGACGTTGTCCTCTGCATCGGTACCTCGTGCTGTGATGCTGTGAGAGTGCCCCGCTCAGTTTGAAGTGAACAAGTTTGCTTATTCTGTATCGGTGGCGCCCCCTGGCAGAACGCTTCTTTCCTGTGTGTCCTGTCGAGGCTCACATGCTGTCCCATTTCCTGGTCGTCCATAGGTTTGGTTTCCCAGGCTTGCCGCCTTCAGGCTAGCCCTGGCCCCAAAGGCACTGCCACTGACCCGCCCTTGCCCTTGCCCTCCAGATGCAGCCCCCGAGGTCCACTGTGACGCCTAGCCCCGCCCCTCACGCCTGGGATCTGCAGCTGCTCCAGCAGCAAGCCTGTCCGATGGTGCCCCGGGAGCACCTGCTGCAGCTTCAACAGCAGCTGCTGCAGGCCGAAAGGACAAACCCGTGCCTGCAGGAGGAGCTCAACAGGACCTCGGAAACCAGCACGCCACAGGTACGGCCAGCCTCAGCGGGAGGCTCCTGCCATGCTCAACTTGGGTCACCTGTCTCATCAGTTTTCCCTGTGTGTTGGAAAATCAGACCAGTTCCAGGGTGGGGCTAAGGCTTCTGAACCTCACCTCCGAGTTCAGCCTTCCCCGCCTTTACAGGTGCACTGAATGGCGGTGCTCTGTTGGCATTGGTTGGCAGTGCTGATGCGAGCTCTTAGCTTCTAAGCTGGGTGATGAAGGGTGCGGGGTGTCCTTGGCACATTTCTAACAGAGGGTCAAGTATCAGGATCACTGGAGCATGGGGCTCAGTTGGCCTCACACTCTTTGCTGCCAAGAATGTTCCACAACCCAGTGCAGTCCTGGGGTATGCTCTGCTCACAAAGCAGCTTGAGTCTTGCCCTACCTGAGGGGTGCAGCCTGCCAAATTCCAGGGGATTTGTAACAAAAAGTAGAATGTGTGGTCACTGCTGCATTTCAGTTCATTTAATTGTTAAAAATTACCTAGTTTGAAAAAAACTTACAAAGAACCTTCTTCCTCTTCCCTTGGAATTAGCATTAGCCACTAGCAGATACAGTCTGTAGTGCGCAGGTTTTCAAACTTAGAATCCTCTTCCTATTCCCTGGGAACTAGCATTACTCACTACCCGAGACACTCTGTGTAGTACCTAGGTTTTCAAATAGTTACTCCTCCTCTCTATGGCTTCACTCCTAATTGTCCTTTTCCAGACATTTCTTAATTCATTCAGAATCAGGAATGAAGACAGAGAAGTGTTTCTTGGGAGAATTCAACGTCAATTCTCTGGTTCCAATCACTTGTTTTCCAATACCTCGCCTGTCAGTTAATATTGGGAAAGGAATTTCTCACTCTTCCTTAATCCCTTGCAAGCACCTCTGCACAGTCCCATAAGCACCGGGATCATACATAGGAGCAATTTCCTGTGCCTCTCCTTCTAGCATATCTGCTGTGTCATGATGTCCTGTACTTCTGTCACCTGTTCTAACAAAACTTTTTTAAAGTATTTTTATTTGCTTTAACATCCTTGTTTTTGGAAGCTTTTTACATACCGCTTCAACCCCCTGCCCAGGATTAACTTGAAAGTCTTGAATTCAAAGTGTGACGGTGGTGGGCAGTTAAAAGGGTTCTGCGACTCCTTGTCAAGGGCTCGAACCACCACCTCAGAACCGTGACCTCAGTGTGTCACGGGCCTTCTCAGGCGCACACCTGGGCTCAGTCTCCTTGTTGCTCTCCCATACGTGCGATGTCCAGAGCGTGCTCTTGCCGACCCACTGGCTGATGTTTAGAAACAATGGCCTGTGCCGGCGCCACGGCTCAGTAGGCTAATCCTCCGCCTTGCGGTGCCGGCACCCCGGGTTCTAGTCCCGGTCAGGGCGCCGGATTCTGTCCCAGATGCTCCTCTTCCAGGCCAGCTCTCTGCTGTGGCCTGGGAGTGCAGTGGAGGATGGCCCAAGTGCTTGGGCCCTGCACCCCATGGGAGACCAGGAGAAGCACCTGGCTCCTGCCATCGGATCAGCGTGGTGCGCTGGCCGCAGCACGCCAGCTGCGGCGGCCATTGGAGGGTGAACCAATGGCAAAGGAAGACCTTTCTCTCTGTCTCTCTCTCACTGTCCACTCTGCCTGTCAAAAGAAAAAAAAAAAAAAAAAAGAAAAAGAAAGAAACAATGACCTGTACTCCAAGGACATCAGGAGTAAAGTCCTCCAGCCAGATGACAGGGCAGGTTAATTATGGCAGCCACAACAGGCTCACCTGTCTCGAGCTGTTTCAGCTGATGCTCGTTTTAGGCATACGGAATATTCTTAGAGTCTGCACGTGGTCTGTGTGTGTGCGGTGATGTGGTTTCCTCTGCCTTTGTGTTGCTTTGCTTGCCTCTGTAGTGTCCGTTTAACCCTCGTTTGCATTATACATGTGTGCGTTTAGACTCCCCCAAAACCGATCTCGACCTCAGGGTGAAGTGTACCACTTGCCTTCTTTCTCTAGGCCTTGCCACCGGAGCAGCGCGCAGTACATGCAGATTCCTACAGAAGGATTGGGCACCTGTGAGAGCTGGGCCGCTCAGGATGACATTGCTTGCCCTGGCACACGCTGCCTGCCCTCTCCCACACACGCACACTCACCAGCCCCACATAGAGACATAAGCTGAGGATGTTGCCATCAAGTGCTCTTCCAAGTCACTTTATCTTTACTGTGAAGGCTTTGCAGTGTTATGTCTCAATTATTTATGTAGAAATGACAGATTTTGTGAACAAAATTCACAAACTTCAGCTTGTTGCAAATTTATTTATTCCATTTCAAGAGTGTCGATTTAAAATTCTTCAAAGGACATAGTCTATCTATTTTCTCATTCCATATGTTGTAACTATTTTTAACAAAAGGTACTACTTTTATATATGGAATTTGAAGAAAATCAGGGATATTTATACTGTTTTGTATACAATGTGTAATACTTTGACAGGAAAAAGGAAAATTTTGATGAAACAATAAAATGAATTTTAAATATGACTGCCTCTGTTTTTCCTCTTTTCCACTCTTATACCATATTCCATGTTTTTCAAATTATCCATTGTAATGGGGTTTTCTTTGGCTTATTTATTTCTTTTCTTTTCTTTTCTTTTTTTTTTTTTCTTTTTTTTTTTTTTTGACAGGCAGAGTGGATAGCGAGAGAAAGAGACAGAGAGAAAGGTCTTCCTTTTGCCATTGGTTCACCCTCCAATGGCCGCCACGGCTGGCGCACGGCGCTGATCTGAAGGCAGGAGCCAGATGCTTCTCCTGGTCTCCCATGGGGTGCAGGGCCCAAGCACCTGGGCCATCCTCCTCTGCACTCCCGGGCCACAGCAGAGAGCTGGCCTTGAAGAGGGCAACCGGGACAGAATCCGGCGCCCCGACTGGGACTAGAACCCGGTGTGCCGGCGCCGCTAGGTGGAGGATTAGCCTATTGAGCCACGGCGCCGGCCTGGCTTATTTATTTCTCTAGGCAAATGGAAATTGGGCATTTTTCAATTATGTCTGAATTTTAAAAAGCCATTTTACCTTTCTTAGATATTCAAGGCCCAATTTAAAGTTACTTTGTGCATTAGACTTGGATCTACTACACTTTATCAAATTAATCATAAAAGAAACCACTAAAACATGTGACTAAGTGCTGTGATTTACTCTCCAAACAAATGTCGGCTGCAGACTCACGTTGGGTCATTCTGCAGAGTGTTTAAAGTGAACCTAAATGCCAGCAGTCATTAAACATTGGAACTTTGCTTAACTATTTGAAGCACCTTCTTGGGTCTCAGATTCTTTACATGGGACACATCAGTTGCACTCTAATTTCTCTCTAGATCTCTCTGCTCTTCAAGGCCCATGGCCCAAGTACTCCTGAACCTTTCACTACTGAGTGAGAAGATGAAGCAAGGCCAGGGTGTTTTCCCTGCCCTAAGGGGAGAAGACCCTTACTTTGCAGTGTGTTCTGTTGATAGACCCATCCTCTACTCCAGATGTTTGCTTCACATGGACAAGTCCAATTTGCAAACAGATGACTAGAATAATGGCAGGAAGAGGCTGGCTACTAGCAGCCTCAGAGCAACCAACCAGCCATTTCAAATGAACAAGAGACATGCATGGTGCAAGTCAGGCAAACCTGAATCAACTCAGTGTTTGATTAAGTCCCAAATCACAGAGGGGAAGTTGATAATCACCTTTTACTTAACTTTGGATGCCCATTTTGTTAGAAGTAGTACATACAAGTATTAAATATGGGCTTTAAGAATTTTGCTCTATCAGGAGACGGTAGTCACACAGGTAAGATTTTTTTTTTCATTATTTATCTTTGATTATTTCTCTGATAGGGTTGCTTTTCTACAATCCATGCAGTGCTCAGAACTCCCATCTCATCTGAAATCCATCCTTCCTGATACCAAGACAAAACATTGGCTATCCTTTCTGTAGGCATCTTTTGGGGAAAATCAGTCACTGGTGTTTTCAGTATGGCCTGACTTTCAAATGCTAATGTACATTGTTTTCTTGCCTCCAGGAAAACCAGGAGCAGCTGGTAACTGTCATGGAGGAACGCATGATAGAAGTGGAACAGAAACTGAAACTGGTGAAAAGGCTTCTTCAGGAGAAAGTGAATCAGCTCAAAGAACAAGTGAGCGGCCCTGGCCATCTCTGTCTGTCCACCTCCCATTCCAGTCCCAGCGCCAGTCTCACATTCCTTTATCGCCATTAACTTCTTCACTGTTCTTGTTCAATAAAGGCAAATTCTATGTCCAGGAGAAGTTAGGATTCCTTTTCCACCGCACCGTGCCCAAAATATAAACTCTGCTTGCTCCCTATGTTTTCCCAAAGCTCTTTGAAGGCGTAGCTTTGTCCACAAGTTACAAATGTGTATTTGCCACCAGGGACTCACGTAGACCTGAGGCATCCCTGATGAGGTTCAGTGGCTCACACTGAATATTTTTAGATTTGGGAAAGGTTTTTTTGTGGTTTCTTTCCAAGATAGGAAATGTGATTTTGGTAAATAACTAGGGATAATAAATTAGGTCCACCAAGTAGTCTGATCCTTCTCTCTTGCTGATGCCAGGAATGAATTGGTTGGGTATGCACTGAAGAGACACAGGGGGACTGCCTTCCAGGAGAGTGTTACAGCCTTTCTGCAAACCGAGACTGAGATTGACTGAGGGATCTGGGGGTGGGAATTAGCCAGCTTTGTTTTTCTAGATACATTAAACTTAAGAGTAATAATCTCAAGTGCTGATCTTAAAGCCGATACAGACAAGAACTTGCGAAGTTCATGAATTTACTCTTGGGGCTGCCTCAAGAACTTGGGGAACAACTAAATAATGTCTTCTTGAATTACTATATGGCCTCTCTAAGAATGTGGAATGTATAAGCCATGTGACCTTATTTGTGTGTCATATTTACAGTCATAGAATTTTTATTTCCACATTTTCAGGGCATTTAAACTTCTGGGGAAAAAAGGCATTGACTTTAGAGTTAAAACCTCTTATAGGGAACAAGTGTTAAGCTTAGCAGTTAACATGCCCGTAGTCTACATCCAAGTACTAGGCTTCCATACGTGGCTCCTGCTCCTCTGTACTAAGAGATGACGAGCCATGGAGGTATTTTAAAAATGAGAAGAGTTAGAGGAGGCAACTTTGTATGCAATGGCTCAGTGTAGAGAGGAGGTTCTGAAATGTCACACATCACACCTGCCAGTCATGTATGTCTGGGCTTTATAGTGTTGCTGTCCTCATGGTTACCCTTAGAAATGCTAATAAATTCATTAGCTGCTCCTGACTTGCTCTTTATTCCCATAGACCTTTATAGTTTTAGATGCCCTGCTTGAGAGTGGGTTTGATGAGTGGAAGGTATTAATAAGAGCACTAGTGAACAGATGCCAAGGCTGCTAACAAGTTTTCCCATCCAAACCTAGACTATGTATTCTAGCCACAGTGATTAGAATATACCTTCTACACAAGGCTCCAGGCACAAAAAGAAGAGTTCAGGAAAAGTCTCTTATTTCTAATCCATGAGCCAGAGTTGCAAAGGATCAGTAGCTCACAGTTGTGAGTGATAACTTTAAGCATTTGTAGTGCGGAGTTACACCTTGCCCCTCAGAAATGTAAGGGACAGAAGTGTTTCCATATTTCATAGAATGAATAAAGGAACTTAGATGGGGGGCAGCTTTCATTTGGAACTCTGAAATATCCATTCTTTTCTTCACTAACATCTACACACTTATTTTCCAAAGAATAAGCTGGAAGAAGTGGATATGCTCCGCTGTGTCTCTGACGCCACGTCTGATGTTGTACTGTAAAATGAAAGGGTGTCATTGGCAGGACAATTGGCCTCTATAAAACACGTGTCCTCATGTCTGATCTTGAGCTTACAAGAAAGATTACAGAAATGGAGTCAAGATGTTTCTGGTTCTGTTTCTAGCTCTGCAAGAATACCAAAGCAGATGCCATGGTGAAGGATTTGTACGTTGAAAATGCCCAGCTGTTGAAAGCCCTGGAAGTGACTGAACAACGACAGAAAACGGCAGAAAAGAAAAATTACCTCCTCGAAGAGAAGATCGCCAGCCTCAATAATATCGTCAGGAATCTGACACCAGCACCACTCATTTCTACACCTCCTCTGAGGTCCTAGCTAAACCAAAGGACATGCTTCTATCTGTGCACTTTACTGAAATACATGGAATATTTCAGTAGGTTCTTTGAACCTATGTTTCTTAACCTTGAATGGCTTAGTATTAAGCCTTAAGACTGCAACCAACAGACCTGGAGTTTCCACATTCACGTCATTAGTTTTCCAAACAGACCTTAATGGGAGTTTCAAACAAATATTGATGTATTCCACTGTTTATTCCCAAACTTCCAATTTATTTAAGAATTCTAACAGCCACCAGTAAGGGGGACATATGAAAACAATTCAAACAATTTACAATCAAAGTTTTGAGTGAATTTTTTAAAAAGTCACTGGGATTAAGTACAAATCTGTGTATAGAGTCCAGATCTTTTGAGATTGATTATAATGGTTATGAAGTTTATTTTTAGGGTTCCTAGCTGAATACTGAAAAGTCACTCTGTTTTTAATAGTTTAATTCTCTGGATTACCTGGTAAATTGTAACTGATAAGAAGACTGATCTCTGTAACCCTGTGGTCACAAAAGCCCAAGACCATAGAACTCTACCTTCTTACTAACGCCTATGACAGTATTACCAACTCTTGATGTACTATAGACTTAGAGCCAATTTATTCAACCATACTCTTAATACTAAAGCTTTACTTTCTTTCAATGGCCTTTTCTTCCCCCTTTAGAAGTCTCATTTGGGAACTTGTCTTCTAAGAAATGCTAGAGCCACAGTCTTAAAGCATTTGAACTATACAGATAATACTGAACAAACCACTTGGGAGTAAATAGCTACTCTTGGAGTTCATGAATTTACCCTTGGGGTTGCCTCCAGAACTTAGCGAACTCAGGGAACCATACTCTAGACTGTCTTCCTGAACTGCTATAGGCCTCTCTCAAGAATTTGACATGGATAAACCTTGTGACCTTATTTATTTGTCATGTATTTACAGCCATAGGATTCTTTTTATTTCTACATTTTTAATGCATTTCATCTTCTGGGAAAAAAAAAAAAAAAGCCCTTGTAGGGAGTAGGTGTTTAGCCTAGCAGTTAAGGTGCCCATATCCCACATCCCGATACTGGGCTTTCAGACCTGGCTGTAGTTCCTGACTCCAGCTTCCTGCCAAACCCCAGGAGGCAGTGGTGATGATTCAAATAACTGTGTTCCTGCCACTGATGCGAGAGACCTGGATTGTATTCCCAGCTTCTGACTTGACCCTGGCCCAGCCCCAGCCTCTGCTGGCATTTGGGGAGTGAACCAGCAGATGGGAATTCTACATTTCTCTGCTTCTCAAACAGAAACTCATCAAATTTATGCAATGGTTTCCATTATTTATTTAATGAGTCAAAATGCCCAGGCTTCTATCCTTGTACATGAATCACAAGGATTTCTTACTGTGACATGCCATCTGGTTTTTAAAAAGTGCTAAACAGGACCTTCCCTTCCTTCTCAAGATCAAAAATTTCCCTGACAGCCAACATTTTAGATTTTCCCCCCTCCAATTAAAATCTCTGCTGAAAGTCTACTTCCACCGTTAGTTGGTGGAGAACTTATCAGGTGCCGAACGCTGCCAAAGCTCATCGCGGCCACCTCCTTGTTTTTCTGGGAGAATAATTAGAACAGAAAAATTAACTTTGATGTATTTGAGGAGGGCCACACACATCTATTTATAAGATATAACAGCAAAATCAAACACTGCTGTATATGCAGGAAAACCAGGTGAAACAAATTACCTTCATATAGTAGAGTAAAACTCAACCTCAACCAAGTGATTCCCATCAAGGAAGCTCAGAGTTCTCCCGGGCCACACCACCCACTAGTTGTGGCACCGTTGTTTGTGGAACTGGGAGTTCACACTTGATGAAGCAGAGCTTTTAATTTTTTCATAGCTTTTATCAGAGTGTCCTTATTTGCCTCTGGAAAAAATGTTAATCCTTTACTGTAGTAATACTTTAAAATATTTGACATTAGCTATCATGCCTTCCCCAAATCTTTCTTCAGTGCAGACATTCCCAGGAGACTTAACTACTTGTATTGCATTAGCTTTAATAGAAAATGTTTTTCATTTAAAACTGTGCATAGGCCTAGGCTAAGGCCAAAAATATACTAAGCATTTGTGGCGTACTTATGTGATATGCATCAAATTACTCAAAGTCATTGCCACTGAGTGAACCCCAAGCATATTTCTTCAATATCTAGCTTACATGTGGTCATACTTGTACTTTTTTTACATCATGAAAAATTTAAGTGAATTTGTTCATTTCCTATACATTTGTATTTATGTGTATATAAAATGCTGTACAATAAGAGTATATATGACTTTCTGGAAAGTTTTAGACTACATTAAGAATCCCCTTATTCAAAAATCAAAACACTCCTCAGATGTTAAACTAGGTTTCACTTAAGCACTTGATTTCTGCCTTTATCCCACTTAGGAATTGGAAAAAAGACCAATATGAGCAATGTATAGATACCTCAAATTTATATATGTGTACAGTTTATTTTTGAGAAACAGTTTCAAGTGAGCATCTCACTGGCAATTTTATAATACAGCTTATAGCTTTTAAAGGACCTGCTAAAGAGATTAAATGTAAGGTGTTATGTTTTAATTTTGCTTTCAGTCTTTATAGTAGCACCCTTCCAAATTGTGTGTTGTTTTAAAGCCTTTAACTGCTGTTTATTAAAAGCGCTAGTCTTCAATCTTTCTTTTGATTTAGGAACTGTTATTTAAAATAGTCTCAGGCGATGGAGTGTTCACTTCCAGGAACGGGAATTGAGTTTGCCTTTGTAATAAGCACTAGGGAAGGGAAGATGTCGGCAGGGCCTATATTTATACTATTTTACTTTCTTCTACTTTGCAGAAGTCTGAATCCTTAAGCTCAGATTTGTGCAGGAAGGGAAATAGAGGAAAGGGCTAGAAGTGACCCTAGTATTTTATTTGACTTACTCTTCTAAAACTCTTACTCTAGATTTTCACAGCTATTTTGAATGAGAGTCCTTCCTGGAAGCTTCCAGGCCTTCCTTATAGATTTAACCTTCACATCTTTTGTGTAAAATGCTCACAAAGTCCTACGTTACCAAGGTACAGGAAGAGACTTTACAGGTCTAGTATTCCAGTTTACCAGTACCCAGGGCAGTTATTATTGTGAGGAACATTTTTTTTTTTTTTTAAGAATAAGGCTTTTACAGCAGATTGGGGTTTTTTGAAATTGGGTGTGTGTATGTGTGTGCGAGAGAGTGTGTGTGATTTCTTTCTTTCCCAAGTGAGGGCAAGGAGAAATGTTTTTGCTATTATTGGCCTCTTCAAGGTATTCCCAATCAAGTCAAGGCTAAATGCTTTGTATTATTATTACTCAAGTCCTGTTTTGAATGGATTACCTGTAATAAGCGACTCACTACAATGATAACTATACAAGTAATGCCAAAACCACGTCAAAGCCTAAACCAAAGCACTCAGATGAAAACATTCATTGTGTCACACTGTGACCTATGAGAGCATCTTGGCACTGTGAAGTCATTTTGGCTTTAGAGCATATGGATAGTTGTACAATAAATCAGAGTCAGCTTTTTTGAATGATGCAAGTGAAATTCATTCCTTTTGGGAGACGACATGACAGTACAATGATTTAAGGGAACACCTGAAATATATAGAGAAGAACCTCAATTCATGTGAAGCCTCTGTAGAATTCTGTTCAGATAAAAACCCATGTGTATGCATTTATACTGGCTTTGTATATTTCACCTTAGCCATTCCATCCTAGAAAGTGTGTCATGTGAGCTTAAAATGTAAATAAATAATTTTGTAAACATGTCACTTGTTTTGTGTATACACTAAACTTCTATCAGCAGTTTCAGTGTGTTTAGCATTGGTCTTTAGAGTGACAACATCAGATCCACTAAGCATATTCTACAAATGCAGAATCCCTGCCCTTACCCCCAGCCTACTGAATTCATTTTAAAAAAGATCCCCGTATGATCTGTATGTGACTTAGAGCATTGGGACTCCCTTATCTAAGAATGAATGATTGTCACACCAGCCAGAGTGGGGTGCTTATGTCCTATAGAAATGCATAATTTACCTGTCAAAGCCTGACTTACCCCCAGCCAAGGCCCTGCTTGCAATTTGGAGTGTTTCATAGTTAGCTGTATTTTACTTTGCACTTTTATGGGTGGTATCGATTTTGTTAACTGAGTTATTCTTCAGTGATGCTCAGGATTTAATTAGAGTACAAAAAGTAAAACTAGGGACAGGTGTTGTGGTACAGCTGGTTAAGCCTCCTCTTGGGAAATCTAAATCACACATCAGAATGGGGGTTTAAGTCCTGGCAACTCCCTTCTGATCCAGTTTCTTGCTAATGTGCACTCTGGCAGACAGTAGAAGATGGTCCAAGTGCTTGGCCTTTACTATGCACTTGGACCCAAAGTTGAATTCTGGGCTTCTGTTTTCAGCCTGTCCAACTCTGGCTGTTGTGTGCACTTGGGGAGGGAAACAGCAAGTAGATCAATTTCTCAAGATATTTCTGTGTATGTATGTTTCTTTCAAGTAGGTGAAATTAAAATTTTTAAATATTTATTTGAAAGGCAGTATTACAAAGAGTCCCTCCATTGGTTCATTCCCCAAACGGCTACAACCTCTGGAGTTGGGCCAATCTGAAACCAGGAGCCAGGAGCTTCTGGGTCTCCCACATGGGTGCAGGGGCCCAAGCACTTGGACTGTCTTCTACTGCCTTCCCAGGCCATCAGCAGGGAGCTGGATGAGAAGTCGAACAGCTGGGACTTGAACCAGCACCCATATGGGATGCCAGTGCCACAGGAGGAGGTCTAACCTGCTACGCCACAGAACCGGCCCCAATAAACATTTTTAAAGACTTGAAATATTAGCCTAAACATAAACTAAATTAACATGCTGAACACAGAAATGTAGAATGGTGATGTTTGGCCAAACTAGACCCATATCACAAGCCATATTTATTTTCTAAACTGTACGCCAAATGTAGGCTGCATTTATAAGACAGGGACTTCTACCCTGATTTTACAGATGAAAGAACTGAAGTTTAGCAGAGGTAGGACTTCCTCAAGACCACATTGCCAGCTCAATCTCAGAACTCAAGGCCCAGTGGCACAGCAGGTTAAAGCACCATTTGCAGTGACAGCAGCCCATATAGGTACTGGTTCGAGTCCCAGCTGCTCCGCTTCTGACCCAGCTCCCTGCTAATGCACCAGGGAAAGCCTCAAAGGATTGCCCCTCCACCCCTGTGGGAGACCTGGATGAAGTTCCTGCCACATGAGGAGTGAACCAGTTGATGGAGATCCCTTTATGTCTCTTCTCTAACTGCTTTTCAATTAAAATATCTCTCTTAAACAGATGGGGCCAGCGCTATGGTACAGTGAGTTAATACCCTGGCCTGAAGTACTGGCATCCCATATGGGCACCGGTTCTAGACCCAGCTGCTCCCTTTCCAATCCAGCTTTCCGCTATAGCCTGGAAAAGCAGTAGAGGATGGCCCAAGTTCTTGGGTCCCTGCACCCACGTGGGAGACCCGGAAGAAGCTCCTGGCTCCTGGCTTTGGATCAGCACAGCTCCGGCTATTGCAGCCATCTGGGGAGTGAACCAGTGGATGGAAGACCTCTCTCTCTCTCTGTCTCTGCCTCTCTCTGTAACTCTGTCTTTCAAATCAATAAAATAAATCTTTTAGAAAAAACAGTCAAAAAAGAACCCAAGACTCAAGTTGTCAGGGTTAATATGTTGAAACAGTTGTACTGATTCCCATTTCTGCCAAAACATTGCATCAATGTTGATTAATAACTACCATGTACACTACAGTCAAGAAAAATAACATTCATGTGATCTGAATGGAATAAAGCGTTAACATTAAATGTACAGAAATTATTAAACAGCTTCCCAAGATGTCGTGCTCCTCCACAAAGAACCAAAGTGACAAAAGCTGCACATCCAAGTGAGTGCACAAGGGATAACACTGGGATTCAGCAAGGGAGACACAGGACATGGAGACCTGGCATGACACCATTAAGGAATGAAGAACAATGGCAATAAAGCCCATGACCTCACAGCCGGGGAAGAGGGGTGGCAAAGGTTTAGCAGGAGGACTCCATTAGCCCTCATCCCCAGGGTCCTCAGATGCCCCAGAAGTGCTATCTATTAGGCATCCATCCAATGGTCACAGATTTTGGAGCCCAGCAAGGGGAGCTATCTAGACTATGCCCAGTACCCGCAGTACCTTTGCTTCACAGAACCAACACTGTCACTGTCTCCACACCCACCAAGCCTCCAGAGCATGGGCTGAGGCAGAGTGGTGCAATCTTGAGAAGGGAGCCACTGTTGGAATCCATACTGCCTTAGGAGAGAGAAGCCCTGGCATGTTCGGACACTTGCAGTGCCACATCTTGCCACACAGGCACACAAGGGACCATAGCCTCACAAGCCAAGTTCAACACAGAAACCCAACTAGGACCCCAGGAGAAGCCCTGTACTTCATGGGACAGAGGTTTCAGCACATCATGGTAGGTGCTACCCTCTAGAGCTAAGGGCAAGGGTTCCTGCTCCCATGGACTAGGGGGCACACCTCCCCCATTCTTCCCATTCTCCTGGGGTAGTGCACTCCACAGCTGGGTCCCACACTCTCTCCCCAGATTTGGGACTGAAACCAAACTTTTATAAAGTAAAAGCAGGGCACAGCCTCTTGTTGGTCTCCCAAGATGTCCTTGCTTGTCCTTTATCAAAAGGAATTCCCTGACTTGAGGAAGCATTATAGCTGGCCTTACAAGGTTCTAATCACCAGACTCAAGGAGTCATTTGCTTCTCCAATAGGTAAGAACTATAATGGCCAGCATTTTCCTGGGGTGCTATGTGTAGGCAAATTCCAGGTCCATGCAGAATGTAGCTGCCACCTTCACATAACCCCCGTAACAGCTGGAGCCACCTGGCAATCTAAAACGTATGGCATCACTGACCAAAGGAAGGTCATTAGCACCACTGACCAACCTGGGACTTGGTCACACCTTAGCCCCAATTTCAATGCATTAGAACCTTCACACTTAACTCCTCAGGGAGCCAGGGAATGAAGCACTAGCTGCCCAGCTCCTTGCTCTGTGCTTTGCAACAAACACCTACTTTCTTCTACCACATCAATGTCAGTGATGGACTCTCTGTGTGTTGGGTGAGAAGACCCAGTTTGAGGGTTCTACAGCAACACCTCCAACTAGTTTGGGTCATTGTTCAGCTACCACATGCCTCTAGGTTTTCACGGGAAAAGCAGACACTCCACTAATCCACAGAGGCATAGTCCAAAAAATAAGCCATCACAGGGAAAAAGCAAAGAAACCAACAAGTATCACCACAAATGCCAATTAATAAATGTAGCAATTCAAGAATCAATAACGAAGACAACATGATACCCCCAAAAGAACACAACACTTCAATAGGAAATGAAGAGATTGAAGAAATGCCAGAAATGGAATTAAAAACACTGCTTGTAGGAATACTTAGAAGTAATTAGAAGCAAATGAACAAACTAATGAGATCCATACATGACATGAAAGATAATTTGTCCCAAATTGAGATCTTAAAGAGAAATCAAAATCAAATCTTAGAAATGAAGAACTCAGAACTCAATAGAAAAATAAAAAATTCAGTGGAGAGCCTTAACAGCAATACCAGTGAAGCAGAAGAAAGAATATCTGACTTAAAAGACAAATTGCAGGAAATTTTATAGTCAGACTAAAAATAAGAGAAAGAAATTCAAAAACTTAAAAACACCATTGAAGATCTACAGGATACTATTAAATAACCCAACATACAGGTTTTAGGAGTTCCTGAAGGTGTGGAAATAGAGAAAGGATTAGAAGACCTTTTTAGTGAAGTAGTAACAGAAAACTTCCTTAATTTGGAGAAAGAAAGGAACATCCAAATACAGGAAGCACATATAACTCCTAATAGACATGACCAGAAAAGATCTTCACCATGACACATTGTGGTCAAACTCTCCACAGTAAAACATTAGGAAAAGATTCTAAAATGTGTGCAAGAGAAATGCCAGGTTACTTTCAGAGGATCTCCAATTAGATTCACAGCAGATTTCTCATCAGAAACTCCATAGGCTAGGAGAGAATGGAAAGATATATTCCAAGTCTTAAGAGAAAAAAAACCTGTCAACCCAGAATACTGTATCCTGAAAAGCTCTCATTTATGAATGAAGGTGAAATAAAGACCTTCCATAATAAACAGTAATTGAAAGAATTTGTCACCACCCATTCAGCCTTACAAAAAATGCTTAAGGATGTGCTACACATAGAAACATGGTCATCACAATGAAAGAAGGTAAAAGAAGGAAATTTCCCAGTAAAAGTACAAAGGAAATCGAAAGTAAAAAATAGGAATATTAAAAGCAAAATGGAATAGCAAAGTCATTATATATCAATAGTCACCTTGAATGTAAACAGCTTCAACTCTCCACTTAAAAGACACAGACTGGCTGAATGAATTACAAAACTAAGCCCATCTATTTGCTGCCTACAAGAAACACATCTCACCAACAAAGATGCATGCACACTGAAAGTGAAAGGATGGAAAAATATATTCCATGCCAACAGAAACCAAAAAAGAGATGATATAGCCATCCTAATAGCATACAAAGTAGACTTTAACACAAAAACTGTTAAAAGAGACCACGAAGATGTGACTATTATTTTAAATAGCCAGGTGCCCTGTAATTAGGTGCATATATGTTTATAAATGTTAATGGAGTAAAAGAGAAACACTGATTTAAATACAATAGTAATGGGGGGACTTCA